GTATAATAATAATAATAGTATAGTTATGGCAAAAATCTACATTGTCTGCCGACCGTTGTCTGTCTCAAACAAAAGCAAAAGCCACACGCATACAATCACAATTGTGCATCTACACGGACAAACGTGACTTGCACCCGATTTTATTTTTCTCGTGTACACGGGCTACGGGGTATAGTGTGATTTTGACACGTCGTTTTCCATTGCATTGTTCGGTGGACGACAGGTCTGTGGATAAAAATCCGTTCTCGAATAGAGCACGATCGCCCGTTCTCGATCAGAAAGCATGTATTGATTTTGTTTCCGTCTAATGTTTACTTAAACATTTTCAATAATTAATCCACCGACCGGCGTTCATAATAGATAATAGACTAGGTATAATAGGCGAACTACATAATATAGTATGTTCAAAATAACAGTATCGAGAGTACAATAATTATTATATTCAAAAGTCAAACGACAATATTATATTCATTGGAATGCCTATAGTAGGTATATATTATAACAGTATACAGAAACGTAACGGCACTATACCGGTTAATATCGGATTTATTTCTATATATAAAAATTCTATGATATTGTACAGTTTTCATTAGGCTGCAAACAAATTACATCATTTTACCTTCAACTACTATACTTTATTGTAAAATAAAATATATTCATAAATAAGCAAAGCAATCGGACGCAAGCGATAGGTTAGGTTAAACGACTGAAGGCCGTAATCATGAGGGGACAATGAACATCTTTATAACTGAAATTATATACTTAAAACAAAAATTAAATACTATACAACTTTAAAATCACTTACAAATATAGTTTTATATATTATATATAGATAATTTCTTACTATAATCTAATAAACGGGCTCACTTCTTCTTAATTTTTTTTAAAATAGTATCTCTTTTCTATTAGTCATTATTTTGATCATATTTCAAGTTCTTCTGGAAACGTTTGGTTAAACTCTTTTTAAAAGTCTATAAATTATTATATAAAGAACGCGCGACTTAGGAATTAGGATTATTGCATTGTTCTATCTCTGCACTGTAAATAATTATGGTAAGTATCGATAATCAAAATAATCATCATATCTTTCTCTCACTGTTTTAATTAATGTGTAATTTATTCGGGTTTAGGTTGTAGAGCAGGCGCAAGATTGACTATATGTTGACGGCCATATAGATAAGTAATAACTAAGTAGTTACAACTTACAGAATTTATCGATTCTAAAGCTCAACAGTTATGGCAATACTATAATAATATGGCGCAGCCAGCAGGATAGATTTTTCACAGATTTTCTTTTTTTTTCCAAGACGACCGCTATGCAAGTACCTACTGCCGTACTTCCGGCCGGAATCAATGCAGTTGTAGGCAGGAACCCGGCCGTGTTTCCTGCACGTATAAGCACACCAATGCAATATGAGAGCCCTGCCAGCATTTCTATTGTTTGACGGCACGTCTCCTCCACGCACACACACGCCAAGCCCTTCTATTCAACGCGACCCGTCGACTTATCTCGGCCCGGCATCTACAACACGTACGATTTTTAATTGATCTCCCACCCGGCTCTGCTGGCGTATTATTTTTTTTTCCACAACAATACCGTTTTTTTATGCATATACTAAACAAACGACTTTTTCCCCCTCATTGACAAAAACCGCTTTCTGCGTCCGACTATAATATAATATTGTATAAGCTTCTTGGGGGCCGCCGCCGCTTTTTACACGACAAATCGGTCTGCAGTTAATAAAAATTTACAAAATTTACAACAAAATGATTTCAACTTTCCAAGTTGTAAATTGCTTATTATGGGTTTCGACTTGCTCCGATGGCTAGCCCGAGTCCCTCGAAAAGAGCAAAAAAAACAAGGGGGGGGAGGAAATCTTGACTATAAATTTCAGCCTAAAAAGTTTTAGTAAAATATGTTTATATAATTATTATAACAGTGTAATAATTCTTGATACAAGTATCAAAAACTATTAAGAAATTTGTATGTTGTTCTAGTTAAAACCAATTCAGGAAGATGGATTTTGTAAATAATTTAAGACTTTTTAAATTATAAGTTTAAATTTATTGTACATGGAAATATAAGTAGACAAACTGCTACAGAGATGTATTTTGCTTGAGTATAGTTATTCGTCTGGAGTAGCCCTAAGTCCTACTCCTATTTATATGGATATGGTAATCTGTGTAATGTGTTATTGTGTAAGTTGTGTTCAATTGATGGGCGGACGCACATCGTATGATTATTTTAATTGGTATTATTTTGCGATAAAATGGCAATAACATGTTTTTCCCAAATAGCTTATCTGAGCGGAACGGATTCTAAGTAGTTTTGATATATATATATTTGCAATTTAAGTTAATCACTACGCCAGATAACCATGCAGGTGTGCTTTGTACTGACCACGAGTCAGCCTTCGTATTTGTATAATAAGTTTGCCAATGCATGACTCAGAGTGCCATCATTATAATATGAGTAATATTATGCTTAGTGTAGTTGTGTGGTTTGTGTGAAGGTTACTGAAGGTTATATCATAACAACAGATAAAAAATCTATTTTAGTTATAATGAACCGAATTATTTGTCTTTTTGACAAAGTGTACTTTTCCTCTAATACACAAACAGACTAATAGTACATTAAACTACCCTTATTTTACAGGGTAATTTTCTATAATAAAAGTCAACTTTACTTTCACGAGTCGATGTCGATGTTCTCCATATTTGTATTAAAAACATATTACTAAGCAGCATTCTACAGTAATTTTTTAATTTTTCAAATGATCATCTCTACATTTAATTACTATATATATAACTTCTATAAATATATTAGGTAGGGCACAATAATGAATGTGATCATTATTTGCTTAAACTGTTTACCGACCAATCATAATATATTGTTTATGTAGAACATTTTTATTATATTTTGTCAATCACATAACTGATACATAACTGAAGATCAAAAGTTTATGATGTAATCATACAATCTAAGGTTAAGAGGCGTTTACACTAGATAAATAGAAATCTTAGACCACCTTATGCTAAATTATTGAACATATTTTGTCGGTATTATGTTAGTTAACCCGTTGCTGGCAAGCCCCCTTATATAATATGTATATATTGCGGCATTTGCACAACAAACTGTGCATTCATCAATTATCCATGGCTTTTGCCACGCGATCAGCTTTAACCGGTGGCCCGTAAAGTTGAATATGTCGTCGGGAGCTTTATTCACCCTATTCACCCAGTGATTTAATTTAGCTGCCTTCGTCCCCAATAGCTTCGATATAATACGTAGGCCGAGTACATACTCTTTATTCGCTGCCAATTACGTGTCGACGTGAACTGAATGCATTTTAGCAGCTCACACAAAAAGACCCACTCGAGTCCTGTACCGCAAATAGCGCCAATTTGTCCATGTACATGAGTACTTGAGTGGCTTCTTCCCAGCTGATATAAAATGCAAAGCACACTAATATTTATGCAATAATTATATCTACACTGATTTGCGTTATTGGTCATCTACTCACACCTAGAGCAGACGATAATACTCTACCCTAACTCCTAAGACATGTTACATGTTTATATCTCGATAACGTCTCCCGTGTAGTTCGAGTATTCCAATAAAGAACTACGCTCTGGTCATCGATATAAACTTACTTTATTCAAATAGTTTTGAAAGAGGCACATTTATAACTATTTATGTATTTTTAAATTGGATTTATTCGCATATAAAAAAATATCATATTATTATAACTCTTTTTTTTATAATAGATGCGTATACGAACGAACGTGCTCGCCGCACACGGGCCGGAATCCGGAATAAGAGTATACAGGCATTAACAATAATAATAATAGTATATAGGTGTATGAATGCATAACGTGTAAATGTCTTGGATAAATGTTTGTGATGCTGAACAGTGAACATAATGCGCCGGATGCGTGTGGTCAGTTTGACGAGGAGCGGCGCGACGGTGACAGCGATTCGGCGCGCACCTGAGAAAACATCACCGTGGCTGTCCGCACGGGAGTCATGTCCATTTCGGATCCATCAACCGCTCTCTTGCATACAACCAGAGTCCATATACGACTATTATTATAATATAATAATAATAATAATAATATATCGAGTACCATCCGTAAGGCTCTGCGGTCACAAACGGATTTAAAATCATTATTATTATTACTATTCGTCGTGCACGTTTTTGCACGTATTTTTTTTACACGCACATATCTAAGGAAAAAAAATCCAGTCTCTCTCTCTCTGTGTATAATATTTGGATAAGAGGCTCCGGCGACGCTTTTTTTCGAGTATATTGCGACGAACACCGTGTTGTGCTATTGCTGGTATAACCTATAGGCTGGCTATACCCATCGCCCACGTCATATTATTATTATTATTATAGACTGCTGTTGTGCACAAGCGACCGTCACCTGCGAGAGACGGTGGCGGATTTGTCCGGATTACTTCGAGTGCGGATTCGTTGGTATATCGTACAAATAAAAATACTAAGCTGCGATGCAATTTTTTTATTTCATTTCAAGATAAATATAAACTCATTCCCACACCTCGATAGGTACACACGACACCTATACGTCCTTCCTATTGTGTAACACTTTGCGGGGATTGAGATTTCAAGACCAATGTGAAATACCGCTAACTTGTTCAGTTTTTTTTTAAACTGCACAAGTAATCCTGTAATTCTTTTTCCGAGATATCTACCGCAAGGGGTATTATTGTACTTATTCTTCGGTTGTCATATTATGCGCAATATTATCGTCGCAATCGTTTTTAGAAAGCCCAAATACGCACCAGTTGCAGGATCGGTCTGATCAACGCTTTTTTTTACTTCTTATAGATACTTTTGGGTTTTTTTACATATTAAAAAATGTAATTCGTCAAAAGTATAACCTACTTAGTTATTGTTTTTATTCATTGATAATATTTGTCGTCCCAAAACTGTTGAATAAAAAGCCGCAAGTAGTACCCAAGTGTTCATATTTATTTACAAACTATTATCTGCTGGTGTAACATAAGGCGGATGTTTTGTCAAGTGCTTTACACCAAATGTACACCTTCTCTGACAGCCTTTGACACATTCTGATATATTATAAGTCCCTGGACCCGGGACTGCGTTGGTCATTTCCTCTGATATCTTCTTGGACGATCCAATTGTTTTACCGGGCGTGGTGCTCTTATATTTATCTATATTTACGACATCGTAGGCTGCCGGTCCAGGTCCCTCGCTACCCAATTCCTTCACGCCATATTTCGTTCTCCACTTCCTTAATTTAATTGAAACCAACATTTTATAAACATTAGCTTATGTGTACCTAGGTACACACGCGTCTAGTGTAAGTCCAGATATTTTATACAATATGCCTAAACAGGCATTTATAAAATGTTTATATAGGTCCTTGTTGATTATTTTTTGACACTTGCACTTGCATTAATAAATTTATTAGAGAAAAAAAATGAAAGTGTACCAACACTCACTGGCGACTTGACCTCATTCCCCTTGGCCCTTAGTGACCATAAATAACTAGCCTAACCTATAACCTGATTAATCACGAACTTATATTATAGCTTTGTAACAATAACGTGTGCAAATACTTACAAAGTGAAACCTTTTGTCCTACAATTAACGGCCGATTGTTTGTAAGTCGTTTGCAAATTATAAGTATAATAGTACATAGTAAGCGGAGGAATTTTAATATCTTCTTTCTCTTTGAAACGAAATAAAAATTTAGGTGTAGGCGATCGTTTCCTATTTGGGTAGCACGGGTAATATGCAGCGGGTCCCGGACTCTTCTGTATGTCTTCTGTTTAATAAATTAAACACAGGTATAGTTGATCAAGTTATTACAATGAGTATACTATGGTGATTCAAAACTGATCTTGGTTATTTTCAAAACGTTTACTTATGTTCAACTTTTCAGCAATTTTTATTTTTGTAAGAGCTTCGGGACCATAGCGAGTTGTATGTTCTATTTTGTAAACGGGACCAGGACTTGTAAAATCGTTTATTTCTTTAAACTTTGATTTTAATGAATATGCTGGTGACTGCCAATGAGAAGGGTCGGTTTTCTTTGGCAGTCCAATTGTACTTTTTAAATTGTACGCAAAAGGTCCGGGCCCTTAAAGTACAGTAAATTTATTTAATTAGTTAAATTCTAATCAATGCTTTGATACTTAAATTATTGAGACTTAGGTAAATTAACTACAGGGTCACTCACCTCCTTCGTCTTTGAATACTTTTTTAACCATTTGTTTGCCTATACAATTTTTAAAACATGATTTATCATAATCATAGCCGATTAATTAAAAATAATCATTAAACGTAAAAAAATATTTAAATTGTAAGTTTTCGCCTTTGTCGATTAAATTGTTTGTTATAAACCAAAACCAAGACAACATAATTCCAAAATACTATATAAATATCGAGGGATAAATTCTAATGATTAACGTTCTATTTTAATAAAATAATTTTTTAAGTATATGGTTTGGTAACAGACTAATAATTACAAATAGTAGTGGGAAACGTGCTATTATGGTATGCTCTTTTGGAGAGTTTTCACATATTCCTAACTACTTACTGTACGTTAAAGAAACTAAATACAAGAAGTCAAAGAAATCTAGGTAGGTATATAATGGTGTAGAAACAAACAATAAATAGGTACATGTACACATTATAAACGCTGTTTCGCAATTTGATTGGAAAATTAATACTAAATGTATTATTTTAAGATTTCAATTAGTAAAATCATTGCCATTTATAACGGTTTTGAATTTTTTTTTTTTTGCGTAAAACGTGGTCCAGAAAATAAACGACCCTCTCCTGTTGTATCGCCGGACATAATAACATACGATCGCACGTGTGACCATCTCCCCTCGGGTAAAAAGGGCGTTTTGTATTAACTGTACAAACAGCAGCTTATAATATGGACTTGCTCTGTACCATCGTCGGAAACTGTCCTACACAGATATGCCCGGCCAAAGATTTGTGAGGTCAAAATAAACCGGCAGTTATAATTTATGATACACCACATTAACACATTAATTTTTATTATTATTATATACGGTAGATTACAAAATAACTAAGCTGGTTATGGAATACATTGTAAAGAATACATTTGTCAAAAAAATTCAGTTTTGTCATTTGATTTGTATTCCATAATATACCACCGGAAAAAAATGTAACATATTTTCCAAGTGAGGAATTATTATTAAAAAAAACAACAGTATTTTTATCCCTTGGAAACTAACTAAATTGTCTCGGTTAATCCGTGAAATAAAAATCTAGTGATAAAACTTAACATTTGTCCTCCGGCTCTTGGAACGTTTGACAAATACGGATTTTCACAAATAAAGAAAAAGTTGTTTTAGCAATTTAAAAATCGTATTAATTCATTATTATAATGTCAATATTCCAGTAAAAATTGTATGATGAAAACGTTGTACAGTCGCATTGTACCTATTTTTATTTGTTTACCAAAGTGTATATTTTAAGTATAGACATTTTTTTAATAATTATTAAGAATGCTACACCGATATTTATTAAAGGGCATTTTTCCGATTCGCGAAGTTTTAGTTTAACAGATGAATAGATGTTAACCAGACAAACCAAATTATTTTACTAGCCTAAACCCGTCATAATACCAACTTAGATCAAAAATATTTATTATAAAATCCAGAAAATATAATATATCTATCCTAAAGAGGACTATTAATAAACTAAAAGAACAATACCCACTTTGTATAGGTACATTTTTGAATAGCTGTAAGTCTTGACTTTAGCCCCCCATAGGTTCGAAGCCTACATTAAAAATTTAATGTATTTTCTATAAACTTCTTAAATTAAATTATAAGCAATTGTTTTCAAAATTTTTTTTTTCTTTTTATGGTACTCTAATTTCTGTATTATGTCTTGATTATTGATCTCTATTAGTTTTATAATAGGTTAATCAAGTTCATGTCAAAGTTGTAAAAATTAATTATTTGAACCAATAGAGGATATTATGTATAAATTATGCAAGACCATGGAAAATTATCACAAAGAGTACACATTTTTCTTTTTCAATATCAAGCAATGCACTCTAAAAATACTTAGCGCAAAGAAAAACAATGTAGAATGTATTCTTTGGCTTCTTACAGTCTTGTTTATATTAACATTAGTTAACATATAATTATATATATAATCGCAATTCCAATCATTAATTCATATGTTAAATATTTATTGCAAAAATAGTTACACATCATCAAAAGTTAGCTAGTTTAATATGTATAAAAAATATGTTAATAATAAAACTGGTTTAAGTAATTAAATTAGTAAAATTAAACACAAAATAATGATGAAATAGGATATAGTCAAGACGGCAAAAAGAGTCGTATAGTTTTATAAAAACAAGTAAGTATTCCGTTGTAATTTACAATCTCCTAAAATCAATCGTACGGTTCCTGCCCAACATCCTGTATCGTAGGCAATAATTCGGTCCTAAAAAAATAAAAACATAAAGTAATATTAAACCATATTTTAATTCAACACTAGGCAAGGTATTAATGAAAACTAATTATATATCATATAATAAATTCTTGTGTGGTATTTTATTGTTTCTAGTTGCAACTGTTTGCCATTAATTACAAAATATGATGTCAATGTATATTATTTAAAAATAAAACATGATTGGTTAAAAGTATTTTGTAAAGTTATTATACATTAATACGTTAGAAAAACAACTAGTTGAGGTATATGTATTAACTTGGACCAATTAACTTCTAATCTCATGAATTCCCAGCTTTGTTATCTAAATTATAATACACGTAATTCATACATACTTGGGTTTTTTAAAAGTTTGATTTAGGACAACACTTGATGAATCTTCAATCGATTCGTGAATCTGGTAGGAAAAGCAAAATGAAAAATGTTATACTTTTCAATACAACAGTTACGTTTATGTTATAAACTATTGAAAAATACTAAGATGAATTAAATCTTACCGGAGAAGAACTTCGATTAGTACAAACTGCCGCCGAACATTTGCAGTATTTCGAACATGACATATTCTTTTTGTGACACATGCAAATATTTTTCAAACAGTTCTTAATACATAGACACATTGGCTGTCCATCAGCGTTTCTTTTTAAGTTCAAACGGTTTAATCGTTCTTCAGACTTATCAAACAATCGGCTCTGACGGAAAAAATACACATATACAGTTAATAACAGAAAAATTAAATTCTAACATTGTCAGTATTACTTCTCTTTTTAGTTTATCCAAACGTCTTCTTAGAGGAGTACTTTCAACATCACAGTTTTCCTTGGAGTCTTCTTCTATGGTAAAATTCGTCTATAAGTTGAAATATTTGATTTAAATACATTTATAATTTATTTATATGTATACAATTTTTATTTATTAATATATATACATATAAAAAAAAATAATTGTTTATCTTCGTAATCCTGATGGTTACACGGAAAAAGGTTCTAAGCGAAATAGGCAACTACTATTAGATAGAGTAAAATTGGCTTCAACCAATTCACAAAAATAGCTGAGACTATTATTTAACAAACAATTTTAATTTTAACTTTGCGGTAAATACATTTTACATTTTTTCTTCTCAAATAATAGGGTCTAAACGACAATTTTAGAATTGATTGGTTCATAATACATACAACATTAATTTATATACAATATTAGGCTAAAACTAATAAAATCACCAAAAATTGTGTTTTAGCTCTTTTGAAAAATAGATAAAATGTCGCTTAGACACTTTTGCCGTGTAACCATCGTTATGCTTACTGGTGTAATAGGAGATTTGATATGATTGGATTTCAATTTATTTGAATCATTATTAACTAAATTTTGTAAATCTGAAATCAATTTGTCTTTTTGGTTCAATTCTTCTCGTAACTGTTCAAATTTACTGAGCTGTTCATCATAAATTCTTAAACGATCTGATAATTCATTGTTATCTCCTCGAAGAGTAGATGATTTTTCTTTTTCATTCAGTTGTCTCAACAAAACTAAAATCTAAAATTAAACACTATTATTGAAACCATTAAACAATTATTGTTGGAGATTTTTTACATTATCTTCATATTCCTTTTGTAGTTGTTCGACCTGTTTTTGATTTTTAGAAATTACGTCTAATGTTTTCTTCTCTTCATACTGAATAGTGTCCTTTGCCTCATGTAATGCAAACTAAAATACACATTGGTATTTTTTTAACAAATTTATGATACATGTAACAATAAATAAAATCTTGTAATAGGCGTTAACTGGTTTTTATGTTAGGTAGAGTGTTAGTTTACAGTTTGTATAATATTTTCAGTTAGATCAAAATCTGTCCTATTAAAACATTATGTTAAGCTTATATCAACTTATTTACTCGTTCTTCAACAAGGAGAAACATTTCAACTGTCTAAAATGTTCAGTTAAGATAAGGAGTGGAAGGATTTAGTTAAACATATTCATCTTTCATATTTTGTTTCTCGTTGAATAAGAGGAATTTTTTTTTGTTTAAAATAAAGTCACTATTATATTTAAAGATTAGATATTATGTTAATTTCAAGTAAGAAATATAATTCTAGAGGGTAATATTAAGAGGTAACTTTTACAACCAGTTTTAACATTTTTATAAGAAAATTGTTTAGCTTAAATAATTATTTCATTAAAGAAAATCACTGTAACACGAACTTTGAATAACCCTGTATATGTATTACATTTTTCTTTATCTTAAACTCAATTTTCTTACTTTAAGTTCATCCACTTGATTTTGCAATTCTAATGTTGATCTTCGATTTTCAGCAGCTACATGAAAAGCATGCTTTAAAGCAGTTTTAGTATCGGCAACAGTTGTCAAGTGGTCAAACCGGTTTTTCTTCATAAGTTCTATAATAATTTTAACAAAATGTTGATAAAAAATTTTTTTTAAAAATATTTAATAGACATTTCACGATTAATATATAACAAGGTTAAGGAAATAGAAAGAAAATTGACTAAAATAGAAGGCTTTGTAAAATAAACGAACCTTCAATAAAGAAAATCTGTAAGTCACTAATAATGTCTTATTTTAAATTTACCTTCATTGCTATCAAATATTTTTTGTCTAAGATCCATTATTTGTGATGATCTCAACTGCAATTCTTCAGTCATTTCTTTTTTATCCATTTTCAGCCCAAATTTAAATTCATCAGTTAATCCTGTAGTTTCTAATTGCTCCTAAACAAATTAAATTTACTGATTTAATATCATTCGAAGAAATATAATAATAATAATTAAATAATAGTTTTACTTCACATCTCTGCATCATTTTGTAAATAGTCTCCCGATCCAATTCCAATTGTTCCAATGTTTTTTCAGCATCTACTGTACTCATTAAAACATCTAATTCTTCGTTAACCCATTTTTGTATACGTTGAGCTTTGGGCATAAATGCTTCATCACGTTTAACTTCAATAGCTTTACGCACAGCTAAGGCGTCCTACAAAAAGGGGTGGGAAAACAGTATTTTAATTGGATATTAAGTCTCAACATTTACAATTTTTATTAGAAAAAAAATTATTTTATTTCAAAAAATAATACATTTAAATTATTAAGGAAATTTTTGAAATCACAATTTTCCTAGCAGATATTACTATGGGTATATCTTTGTGGGACATCCCTATATATAAATATAATTAATAATAAGTAAGAAACTATAGTAATTACACACAGGGAGTTTCATGATTTTTTAACAATTGTACACATAGTCATGCGGGACTGAACCACATAGACACCATGAAATGCAAGTCAAAGATACAACTGAATAGTCTTATTTCTCAAGGTTTCAATGATGTTAAGGGATAAAATTTATTTGTCATGATTTGTTTAAAAAATGATTGCATCAGGTTGAATGTTTTTAAGGCAGACTAAGTAATTACTCTACACTCTACTATTAGAATTTTCCAATTATAAATATTTTATTACCTTTAGTCTTTTATTAACATTAGCTGCGTCTTCAAGTTTACGCTTTAATGCAGTTTGCTGACGAACATGTAGACGTTCCATACGAATCATTTGATTTTTTTGCTTACGTTCATTTTCTCGAAGTCGGCAAAGTTCTCTATCACGTTCTAATTTAAATTGTCTAAATTTTTCGTTTTCACTTTTCATTTGTTGAATTAACTTCACTTTCATCACTTTAATACTCTAAAAACATAATATTTAAATGTATCAAATAAGTATTTTATAATATTTATCTATGTTAACTAACTTTTATTTCGTTGTTCAAGTGTTCAACTTTTTGATCGTTTTTGGCTTTCATTTTGATAATTCTATCTTGTTCTAAACATTTTTTTGTTAAACTTGCAATTTTTTGTTCCAACTCTTGCAATTTTTTCCTTCTTTGTTCAGACAATCTAAAAATTAAATAGAACATATTCATGACTAAAGCAATCCAAGTGTGTTACAACCTTAATTATATTCAGTTAAAAAAAAAAGGATATCCCTATGTAAGTACATTATATACTAACTTTGTACTTATATTATTAGTATGAGCCGCTTTAAGGGCTTCTTCTAACTGATCTCGTTCTTGTTTTAATTGTTCAAGTTTATTTTTTAGTTCTTCAGTGTCTTCTTCTGGACAGTATTCACCAATATGTGAGACTGACTCTATAAGTTTTGCAGCTAAATGTTCTTTCATAGCTAGTTCTTTATTAAGTTTATTTAGTTCACGATTTAATTGAATTGTTTCCATAACCATTTGTTCTTTAGTCTGATCAGTTTCATTGTCAATTTCGGCATTTTCATCATCTATATCTTCATTTGCAGTTACGTAATCGTCACTATATATCTCTACTTCTGTTCGATTATGCTCATCCTGTTTAAATTAAACAAAAATATGCTTTATACAAAATCCGATTAATACCTCAAATTTACATTGAAGCTACAAGTATATTATAAAGATGTAATATTTATAGGTGATTAATTATTATAAATACCAGTATATAGCTAAGTTTTTGTCTAATGTTTTTAAATTCTTCAATGCTGTTTGATTTTAATGCGTTTTCAAGATCGACAATTAGTTCATGAAGATGTTTTTTCATTGTTTCGCGTCCAGTTTCAGCCTAATTTGATTATACAATAAATACATTTATTAATAAAGTACTGAAAAAAACTAGAGAGGCATGGAATATGGATCTACACATTTGTGTAAAATAAGGCGAAACAATACACTTACCATTAAAGCTTTCATGTTAAGTGATGCACTTTGAGTCATATATTCGCTCAATACTTGGCTCATGGACCGTAATTTATCTTGAAGTTCTTTGTTAGTCTTTTGTAAATTATCATGTTCAGGTGGACAATTATTGACACCATTAGCTTCCATCGCTACAATCTTTAGTCTCAACTCATGGTTCTAAAAAAATTATTTTTTGGTATATAATGACAATAAATATATTATCATCTTCATCATGTAAGCATTAACAGGATTTGAAGACCCAACTCTGCCATTATAAGATGATTTCTATAAATATATTATATTAAATAATATTATTTTATTACTTCTTTTGAAAGTGCCGTCAATTGTGCTGTAATTGGATCTTGATTAACAACAGGTTTGTTTTTAATTTGTAGTGCTCTATTTGCGTAACGTAATGTACTAACTGTTTCATCCATATTATAATCAGCGGGACTTATGCAAGCTATCATTAAAGTAACAGAATTTCCACCTAATGAATCTAAAAATAACATTTTTACCAATATTAACTTAAAAAATATTATTTCTTGGAGCTATATTTATGTGTATATTGATTAGGAGAAATGCAATATTATGTATTTTAGAAATACATCACGTTTCTTATTGTACTGATTCTTTTTTTAAAAATAAGCTAGAGCTCAGTGTTAAGTAGATAATACACTCAACAAATTTTATTTTATGTAACGTTAAAAAAATGATTTTAGTAAAAACAATTTGCAAGTAAAAAATAACTTAAAATAGATCTTGTAACCAGAAGTAGATAATAAGTTACATAAAATGCTTACCCTGTAATAATCGAGTTAGTTTACTGTCTCTATATGAGACATGAGCAGATTTTTCACACAAGGCTGTTATAACATTACCCAGGGACAAAAGTCCTTTGTTAATATTTACACCTTCTTTGAATCTTTCTCCTGTAGCTTTAGTTTTTTTGCTTCTTTCAGAGCCTGCTAAATCAACAAGATGGAATTTTGCAGTTGTATTATTTCTAAACGAAAAATAAATATTAAAATTAGTCAGAGAATTACCATTCATTTTTTTTTTTTTAATCACACTATTTTGAAATTAATACCCTTTCACCTTTATATAAAGCTAATACTAAAAGATTAATATGAAAATATAGATAATGGTTAAAAAAAAAGTAATAAACTTCAATTTATTAATAAATACATTTTGCTTTTGAGTAAATTTTAATAGCTATTCTGTTCTTCATGAATCTTAAGAAAATAAAAAAATATATAAAACTAAAAATATAAAACAATTTTTGTACCCGTCTTCTTGCATCTGACTTATAGTTAGAGTAAATATGCAATGACTACGGGAAGACTGAGCATTCATTGCAGTAGCTCCGGTTGCACGGCCACTCGAACCCTGTAAAAATTCAGTGTTCATTATTATTTATTATTATGAATTACATCTATTTTCAAATGAGGCAAATGGGCTAGAATATATCTCTACTTGACAGATAATAAGGTTTGCTTTGAATTTTTGGCTAAATTAAAGTCCTATCTGCATTAAGTTATCGTTCATAAAGTAATTTACCAGTGTTAAACATTGGAGCGTACTATCAAAATCATTCACACTTATTTCAGTTAACCCAGGAATACAAATTCCTCTACCATCTTCTCGAATGTCGAGAATTGATCGATTAGGAGATAATAAATCATAAACTTGTTCTTGGTAAAGCTATAAAAAAATAAATAAAAACATAAGTTTTAACAATATAAATACTAATTTTTTCAACTAATTGCAATACTTCAATAAATGATGCTTTAATTGTGCAATTTGAACTTGTACGTTGTTGAACTTCGTCAAAAATGTTTTGAATAGCTCGAGGGATAATACCTTTCTCTTCTTCATTATTTTCAACAAAATTTGTACCCATTGAATGAGTTTTACCAGATCCAGTTTGACCATATGCCAAGATAGTAACATTATAACCTGCAATATTAATCAAATATAAGTTAATAAAAAAATGTAATTAAATGAACTGCTTATTCATAGAGGGGGGGGAAATAAAATGACAGAAAAAAGTATGTACTTGGGTATCTATGGGTATGGAGGCAGCCAATGGATAGTATGTTGACAATTATTTATAGTAAAAAACATATGTACAAAGAGGGTGATTCACTAAGGATATGACACTCATTTTCTGTTAAAATAATTTTAATTTTGTAGTTTTTTTTATAAAAAACATTTTTGTTTGTTATTTTACAATCAGGGCCGGTGCTAAGAAATATGCAAGGGGGGGTGTCAAAATGAAGATGCCGACTTTAAAATTTTAATTGCCGACTAAAATATTTGGGTACTTTCGTAAATATTTTATAACATTTTACAACACAAGTCACAATTTTTTGCTAAAATTAATGGGAATTAATAATTGTTGAAAATTATTTTTTTTTTAACTTTGAATTATTATTTTTTTAAGTATAAATAATACAAACAAATTTAGATAATAAAAAAACCATCAAAAGTTAAACTTTAATATGGCGTTTTGTTTTAATGCGGGCTATTTTCTTGTTATTTCTTCCAAATCAATTATATCGAGAATATCTCTGGTGGAGTTTAAAATCGCGGGAGTCATTTTTTATTATTTTTGAAAGAATAAGAAGAAGAAAAATGATAATGATGTGATATTGTGACTTGATTTTTTTGATTTTTAAAATGTTTTTGGAGCATAGAAATATTTTAGGCAGCTAACAAATTTATTTATTACTACATTTTCAGTTCTCAGTCACCAATACTAAAACAATTTGAGCCTTACTTTAAAAATGTTTGAATTTATTTAACATAATTATAACGTATTGCAGTTGAAACTGCAATTTAACCGAGATATAATCCAAATAGCCTTATTTTAAATAATTTTATAAAAATAATGAAACTGTATTAAAAATTATTATTAAAATCTTTGAAATAAAAACAAAAGTGTATTTTTTTATGAGTTATTATCTAAATACAATTTTATTTTTATTTTAGTTAGGTAAACTATTTAAAAATAATGCCCATGTCTGCTCCCTGCTAGCTATATATAGTATAGTAGGATATTATAGTAGGTAATATCCCACCGCAATGATAGTAATAAAGAAGAAACTAGACATAGTGAAGTAGTACCAATGAACTCTCATAGGCCTTAAAAATCTGGCTTAATGATTTATTCTAAATACGTATCCATCTCATACCTTTTGTTCAAAATTTATTCGGGCAGGCTCAAAAGGATTGTTAGCAGCTCCTTGGTGTTTCATATTCATTCTCTAACCATATATATATTTTAGATTACACACATTTAAAACCAATACTTATTATTTTACACGCGCACACGAGACAAGCAAAAATAAACCCGCTAACTCTTTGCCTGCAGACTTAATACTATGGGTTATGTGATATGTCTAAAACAGAAGAGTAGGTTTTTTTTTTATAGTAGGGAATCTTTTAGAATTTTAAAACTAAAATAAAAATATATACTTATAGAGGGATAGAATGTTTGTTTACAATAGACCAATAGGTCCCATGACCGAACATCGTTTGATATAATAATATACACCACAGTTATTATAAACAAATAATAATACTTCTGCTAAAATCGGGAATAACCGAAAATGCATTGTTTTTATTTTACTAAAAACTAAAATTATATTTTCGTATGGTCTTCCGTATGCCGACTATTCACTATTCGTCGCTAGATTCCAATAAAAATTATGTACCTACCTACTTTTATAAAATAAAAATAATAAATATGTTATTTGTATAATTTTACGGGGGTTATAATATTTACCGACTTTTTGTTCCGAATGTGCCGACTAGGTATACTTGAGTTTTCCGAGTGGGGGGGGGGGTGTCAAACCCCCCCACACCCCCCTTTAAGTCCGGCCATGTTTACAATGTTCAAAAAATTACTAAATATTTACTTTTTTAGAATTTTTCAGAACTTTCAAAACTTATATAACGGTAAATTTATGAATTTAACTTTTTAAATTAAGAACATTTTTCCTGGTCAAACAGTTTTAGATAATTACATTTAAAGTTACTTAAGTTAAAAATGCAGAACGGTAGGTGGAATGCGAAGGAGAAATGCGCGCTAATAAAAAATGACTACACTCCAACATTCCTCCCATTCAAAATTTTAAACTTTAATAACATTAAATGTAATTATCTAAAACTAGTCGACCAGGCAACATTTTCAGCAAATTATTCTTAATTTAAGAAAAATATTTAAACATACACGTTGTCATTTAAGTTTTAAAAAGTTGATGGAGTTCTCGAAAATACTAAAACAGATAAATATTTAGTATTTCTATAATATTGTAAAAAACATAAACAAAAATGTTTTCATAAAAATAAACTACAAAATTGTCATTATTTTAAGAAAAAATGGTGTCTTATCCTTAATAAATCACCATGTATTCATGGTGATTATACATAATTTCTTACCACTAAACAATTTTTGAACTAAATCTTCAACTGCCAATTTATACACTTGATTTTGTGAGTGTTCTGGCGTGAACACATAATTAAACGTAAATGTCAAATTAGCATTATTGTTAACTATAATCTGTTGATTAATAGGATCGCCTAATACACAATTAGAGCATCCACGCTCCAATTCAGATTTGACAAGGGGACGTATTCGGATAGCTACTCTTACTGAATCCATAATGAAAAATAATGCTAAAAACTAAATAAAGGTTAATAATTAAAACTTGATTCAGATTTTATTAAAATTAATTATACATAAATTAAATTGTATTGTTTGTTACTATTTTACATTACTAATAAATAAAGTTACTCTAGAAAAAATGTATACAATACTTGTGGATATATAAAATAAAGAAATAAAAAAAAAATGTATTGAAAGAAATAAAGTTACAATTAACTAAAATCAATTAATTTTTTTTCTAATGATTTTTCTACATACCAATATATATATATAAGTATGAGAGTTTAGATACTAAAAATTATTCTTTATAATAGTTTGCGTTTGTAAATCATTACGCCAAAATTTAACTAAAAGACCATATAAATAGAGGTTAATTTAAAATTTAACGTACGTTTAAATGTTTGTAACTAAACCTCAGATTTAAGATCAGTTTTACTAATGGTTTTATAAGTATAGTAGAAAATATTAATACATATTTTATACCACAAAATAATATACCAAGCCCCAAGTATCTTATTACTTTATCAATGTTTAATGAAATATATAGTATTGTAAGTTAGTAAGTAACGAATCTTGCGATTTGAGTAAATTTTTGTTTGGATAAAATTATCAGATATTCAATTAGATATTATAACAGTTTTGTTTGATACTTACCACTTACATACAAATATTAGGTACTAATCTTAGAAGTTGATGTCTATTTATCAGTAACCATTGATGAATGATGAGTGAAGACTGATACTTTTAGTTTTTAATTATGAACATTTTAATTATTTGGTATAGAATAATGAATATGATACCAGGCACCAGCGGCCAGACACCTACAAATTCGTTATTTCAGTTTTTAAACAATACTAAAACAACATAGATTGACAACAGGTACCGCTAGCAGTCGTCAATGTCAGCATAACCATTTTATTTATCAATGCTATTAGTAGTGGTACGCTTGCTATAAAAAGGCGCTGTTCGCATAGGATAAGATAAACCTTATCAATAATCTGTTCCACGAGAATGGAGATCAACTGAGGCCTGTGAGCTTGTCTATAGCCATGATTCAAATATATTTTAATCATGTCTATTGCGGAGGCCGGAGAGGCTATGCCTACTCAGCTCGCACTAACTGAGACTAATAATTAAACTACATAAATCTAAATTATAAATATACATTTTGTATTTTAAAAACACTGTACAGCATACACGCTTTGTATTTAAAAATAATGTCGCTAATAATATTGTAAAAATTAATTGGTATTCACTAGTCTGAAAATGATTAAAACTTACCTTCGCAATATTAGTTCACGATATAATATTCTCGGAACGGATAAAAAATGTAATAGAATGTTACCTTCTCAGATTCTACTACACGTCAGATGTAAAATCACAGATATCTGTAAATAAAATAATTTTATATGAACAAGTGTAAAAATAATATTATTAGCTTCGGTGCGGAGCTGAGAAGGTATTGTTTTTACAATGTGTTTTTATTATTTTTTTTTTTTTGTGTCTGGACCCACGATATCTCGTAAACCGCTGAACCGATTTCTTCGTGTAGCAACTCTATAGATCAGAAATCATACCTGAAAGGTACTTTTTAGCGAGCCAAAAATTTAAAACAGTCACCCCTACTCCATCAAAATCGAGAAAAACACCTAAAAAATGTACAAATTTTTCAACTTAAAATTACTATGCTCTATAACTTTTTTAAAAATAGTCGAAAATGTTACAAATTTATATGAATTGTTCTTCAGACATATTACTATCGATAAACATAAACAAACCAAAAAAATATCATAACCCCTTTCCTTTAGAAGGGATACAATTTTTTTCTTTATTTCACTTTTTCAAGCAAAGTTTTAAAGATTTAGATCTGAAAATTAGACCAAAGGTAGATCTAAATAGAACTATAACATATACAATTTTCTCAAAAATCTGTAGTCAAATTTGTTTTTTATTAAGTAAAAAGGGTAAATTTACACTTTGGCCGTAGTCAGTTTCTAGGTTGCTATGTGTTGCTTGAAAAAGTGAAATAAAGAAAAACAATTTCTTACATTATTGCTGGTCCCACGATTTCTTCTAAACCACTATAACTAGTTTCAACATACTATCCACAGATTCGCATTGAAGCGTTTATTTAAAAGTGATTTTATCACTTTCAGTTATAATAAAATCTGTAGACCTGTGACCTCTCCGTCTCTAGTCCCTACTATGCTCCGACCCCACTTTTTTATACTTGCATAGATATATATTTAAAAATCTAATAATAAACAACAAATCCTTATAATTCGACTAAAATTAAAAATGTCAATAATGTTTTGATATATTCTCTCTATAGACTAGTTTAGTAATTGTCAGATTTTAATGTACTTGCAATATCACTTCCAACATGAACAAAAAATACATGAATACATTGACTATCCCATACTTACAAGTGATAATCTTTTCTGTCATCTAGTATTTCATTAAAATTGTTTTGTTGAGATTTAATAATATTTGATACTTCTTTCATTAGATTCCAAAATATTTAAAAATGATTTTTCAAGTTAATAATTTTAGTGTTAAAATACATGTTTCTTGCCATACCAATTAGCTTATTCAACAATACATACATACTTTGTAAACTGCGTTTTACATTTACATTAAATGGTTGCATTTTTGTTTTATTAATTGAATAATGGTTCATGATTAATTAGATCATTCCTTATTTATCTACTTTCAGTAAATTTCCTAAATCTTAAGTCTCAACACTTGAAATTAAGCTATAATGACCAGTTATAATACCACGCAATACATTACAACAAATATAATTGTCGCATTCCTAAATAAAAAATTATCAATACTAGATGACAAAATAAGTTGTGAGTTAACACTTAGTGATCTATAAACTGCAGTTAATTAAAATTATTCTACTATTTTGTTGCCACCTAAAGTAATTTATTATTATTAATAATAAATATCAGTTTAGAAACAGTTAAATATTTAAAAAAAACTATGAGAGTGCCCAGTTAGTACTGTATTTTTCTATCACACAACAGGATGTATAAAATACAGTGAATCACACTTTCAATAGTTAAAAGCAAAATAAACTAGTATACAAATTATAGAAATTAACTAGATTTAAGTTCTTTCAGAGAGACATTTACGATTTTATTTTATTTTAGGATGACATTGAACTTTCTTTATATCTGTATCCCAATACGTTTTATTGGTAATAAAGATAAGTCGTCCTCATTAATTTTTGTAACAGATAATTTTGCTCTGTCCCTAACTAAACTAATACAATTACAGAAGCCCAGAATTTTTTTCAAATACAATATACTTGTTGGGCCAGACAAAACAACTTAATATTTTACTTTGATACTATATTAAGCACTTCTAATCTTCTAAATTTGTATAGGTTCCAAATAAGTATGACAATTTATAACTTCAAAAGTATTTCAATTTTAAAGCTAATTTTAATATTATTATTAATAAATAATAGATACTTAAATAAAAGTATTACTTATTTTTATATTATACAATAATTATAATATGTGCTCAATGGTTTTGGTTCTAAAATACATTGATTTGTACTATTAATAGAGCACACATTTATTTATGAACATCTAATTGTATTTTATTTTAAAACATTTAATTAAAACCTAAAATTAAAAAACATTTCATTTGTTCCGAATAATGATACATTTATTATACATACACGTATAAATATATATATATATATAATTTTTTTTATACATATATATATATGTATATATACATATGACACTCATTCACAAATGAGGCAATAAAATATAGTAAAATTTTACAGTCATAATTAAAGTATGAAAATAATAGTGGTAGCTAAAGAACTAAACAAAAATTTTTAGGAGTCAAATAAAAAAAATCATACACATCCAACAGCAGCCGAGGCGGAACTTTTTTTCTTCAAAACAATGTCCTTGATATTCAAATGTACTTTTTCTTTGCGTTGTGGAGGTACCGACTGTAAGCAAAATCGTTTAAATGCTTCTAATTCTCGTTCATCATCATCCATCTCTCCATCCTCCAAATCGATATCTTTTGGCTCGAACACGCTTTCTGCAAACGGCCACAAACACTCATTTTTTTTTTTTTTTAGATTTACTTTTTTATATTAAATATAGAAAAACATATGTATGTGTTATGTTTTTTTTTAATTTTAAAGACAACCCTGCTGTAATAAAATATACATATGGTGGCATACAACAAATTAGAGTTTAATAATAACATGATATAATAAAATCTTAAAAACTCAACTAAAGCAATGTGCTTTGAAATACTGTACAAAATATATCAACATTAAATCATGCGAGTGTAAAATCCAAAACCATTAAGCAAACAATATTGTATAATATGATTATTTTTTATTTTTTAAGCATTAAAATTTTAAAGAGTGCACTACTTTCACTAAAACCCTATTTTGCAAGACTTATTATTGCCTCTCTTCTCATTTCTAAAAAATTCTTAGCCTCTTTAATGGCCATAAAACTGCTAGATAAGGTAACACCCTTTTAATTACTCTCAAGCCTTAAAAATTAAAAAATATCGTAAAAGTAAAATCTCATAAACCTTTAAGATAAAAATATATTAACTTTAATGTTATTATATTAACAAAATAAAAAGTAATCTATATTAGTACCAACTACTGATTATTATTTCAGACTTTTTATAACACTCGAGCTATTGGATCTGGTTCAAAATTTGTTCAGTAAATTAAAAACAGAGATTTGAGAAACACAGGCTATATTTTGCAATCCTATTTTTTTTTCCAATTTAGCTTGGATTGTGAATTGTTATATTAAATATTAGGTAATGAGCGTGTGTCAAATATAAATATAGTAGATTTTATCATGTTCAATCAAATACAATACATTTATTTTTTAGTGTGGCTTATTGACCTAAGAACATGTTATAGTAAGGTTTTCTTGTAAGTAATAATGAATAATATATATAGTAAGAAATAATCTATAAAATTAAAAATAATTTGTATGAAAAAACTGGACTTCTTAAGATAAGGTAAAAAATATGTAAATTTTTTGGTTGGCCTAAAGAGTAACATAATGTTTGTATCTAAAGAAATAATGTAGAATAGTATTATTTATAGTATAGTTAATTTCTTCAATGTACAATTTGTATAACTAAAATAAAATTAAAAATGTAAAAGCCATTTTAAAATTATGAAGCTGCAAAAACAACATGCAATATATTAATAAATAAAATGCCAACACCACTAAAAAAACTTCTATGTACTTCTATAAATTATATACAGCCTTTTAAAGTAACTTTTGATGCATTTTATCATAATCATCAGAGTTTAAATAATATAGTATAGCATGTATATATTATATGTTTTTCATTCTCTAAAAATTCATTTATTAGTAGAAATTGGTAGGTATTAATATAACTTGTTCTGCCAAGACACTTAAGCACCTACACAAATGTTTTGTTTTTTATGTTGGTTGAAATAAGCATGGAGATATGTTAACGTTAAAAAGCCATTTACATGAAATATAAAACCAAAATTAATAAAATTGTAATTTTAGTCTTATTTTATAGAAAATTTATAGTTTTCAAATATCATTATAACTATAACCAAGAGTTAGAGTAACAACAATAAATCTGGTCCACTACAAAAAATTCAGCTCTATTATTTCTTATTATAGAAGTGTTATATTTTATTATACCGACGAAGGCAAGAATGAAGCAAAGTGAACTATTGCTCATTTAAAAAACATTTTGCTTGGTGATTGTATAAAATACCATATACATTAAGTGTTTGGCAAAGGGGTAATCACGTCTTCTCTCTGCGATGGTTTAAATTTCTTTTATATAAAAATTTTGATTTAAGGTCAAAAAATCCATAACATAACAAAAAGGTAATCTAGTATAGGTAAAATGTTAATAATTATTTGTCAATAAAATTGTACGTACAAGTTAAAGAAAATAAAGTATAGATAAGTAAAGTATAAATTCTTATTTCACGTTTACACAAAAATAAGTAAAACCGAATTTCTGAATGGGTTGTGTAGTTCAAACTACATATATTAATTATCTTATTTTTTAGTTGTTATTTTAAATAATCTATTATACATTAACTGTATTTAATGTGTAGGTAATTGAATTCATAATTTTGCAAACATTTAAAAAAACCACTTATCTATAATAAATTGTTTATAATATTTGTAGTAAAAAAAAAAAATATTTATCTTTATTTAAATAAACTTAGTTTTACCATTTTATTAATTGTAGATTTTTTGACCAACAACTACTTTTGCAGAATTTTTAAATTAAAACTTCTTTTTGTAGTATGTAAGAAATTAATAATCAAATTGTTTACAAATAAATTAGCAAATCAAAACAGACAGATATGTAGTATGTATGAATATTTTATTTTGTGATTTATTTAACTAAAATATGCCTCAATGAAACTTTAATTATTATGGCTTATTTTAGCAAGATGTACCTTTTTGTACTTTATGTTAAAAAATGTATAAAAAATAGTTCTTTAAACAAAATAATAGCTAACTAAAGTAAAAAATATAAAAAAAATTGTTAAAAAATGTTCATAGGGTAGGGTACTAAATTTGTTTTTAACTTTATAATTCTGCATTGTCATAATAAATTAATATTTTATAAAATGTACATAATTTAAGCACTATTATGTTTGTTCAGGCTAATAACAGGAAAAAAGAACGTAAATTAAATTATTTAAAGTCTTAAATAATGGGGTAGAGATCAGTAAAGCTCACCCTCAACATCCGTTTGTTTAGAGCTGCCCTTAACACGACGGCGACGACGTCTTTTTTTGCCAGTAGAATTCGTTTCATCATTATCAGCAATTTCTTTAGAATTGTGAGTTTCAGTTATAACTGTATCATCATTGCGCTGATACAAAGGATTTCTTATAGTCACTATGCCACCTTGTCTTTGAATTATAACTGGTAATGGAGTTGACCGTGAAGAATTTGAAGATGGCATTTGTCCTGAGATTACTTTATTCTCATTATTATGAGAATTCCTTATAAACGATTGATTAGTGATAGTTATACTAGGCTGAATATTTTCAGAATTTGTTTCATCTGAATTGGATCCATTCTTTTTACGACGTCTAGTACGTTTATCAGAAGATTCATTGGATTCTATAAACATTGTATGATTATAATTATTAAATTTGAATTTAATTATAAATAATAATTTTGTAACAAAAACTCATTACTATTTGTAAATATATGCTGGTTTTATTTTTGGGAGGATACGGGATGTAGAAGTACGTTAGAAATTAAAAAAAAAATATATATATATATATATATATACTCTGCGCCATGAGAGAAGTAACCCGTTTCGCGCATCACGACTGACGGCCGCGACTGTTCCGAGGTCCCATTTTCCCCACTTTGTGCCATTCAGTGTCGCGCTGAGGCGTGCATACAGCGCGAAACAGGCGATATACAGAGTGATTGTATATAGAGTATATAATTTATTATAATTGTGAATGATTATATTATATTGTCATTTATCAATTATATATATAGTTATTTATTTATTTAAAACACATACGATAGTATAACACAGGTAATTAATTTATATATTAATAATATAATATTAATATTAATATTTATATTATTATATTTATAAACTAATATAATTTATTATATTAATTTATAAATATAAATATAATATGTTATTATTATAACATATTTTTACAACCAGGTCAAGTGAGGTCAGAGGTTATTTTAAAATTAAATAATATTTAAATTAAAATAAAGCTAAAACATATTTAAATTTAAATTAAAACTAAAAAATATTAAAATTAAAATGAAAATTAAATATATTTAAATTAAATATAAATTTAATATTTATATTTAATTTCATATTTCAATAATATTGTTATATTATTATTATAATAATAATAAAATAATGTAATAATTCAACAATAAAAGCAAGTGCGTGGTTCAAAGACGTAAGACGTGAGTTTTGTGACTTGTGACATACTGTATCGTGTTTACGTTATGATACACTCTATATAAGCAGCGCCGCCGACCGTGGGTGTGGCCTATCGGTGGTGATGCGCGGAATCGAACGCGTTTCGGTCGAGCAACGGGTTACTTCTCTCGTGGCGCAAGGTATATATATATACTTATGAAGATATACATATAAAAAAAAACCATCAAGCTTTACGAGCCTTTAAGGCCCAATGCTGCCATCAAGATGGTTTCTTGACGAATTCGCTTCCGGGACGGGTCGTCAATCCGTCGCCGGAGAGGGGGATGGCGGTTCCTTTTTACCGGACGATTGCTCGCCCAGCAAACGGAGTGCCTGTGACCGGGTGTCGAACCGGCGACCGTGAGCGCTAACACACTGCCGCCTTACCCACTCGGCCACTCCTCCTCTTCTATGAAGATATACATATATAACATATTAATACCTGTAGATTCTTCACGGTTGCATCTATCAGTCTTAACAACAACAATATTATTTTGAGAACTTTGTTGCATGTCAAATGGATTTACTGTAGCAGGTGCCGCAAATGGAAATTGCAATGGTTTAGGCTGAAATATTTTTAGTTGTAAATTATATGTATAATTATTTCTTTTTTTTTTTACAAACTTACTTTTTCAACTGATTGTTGAATGTCTCTTGGTGGTTTATAATCACTAGGATCAAGTTTGGTAATAGTGATCCCTGGAGGTAATTGTAATTTGTCAATATCAATAGGCGTTGAAGACGAAGAAATCTTATTAACAGCTTCGTTTATTTGAATGGCAGTTGGGCTGGTCAAGGGTAACGGCTGAGATGGTAAAGGCATTGGACGTGTGAATACTTGATTACTATTTGTTCGCCGAATAAGAACAGTATTTTGCTGGGATGGATTAGAATTTACAGTACTTGTCACTGGCGTTATATTAACATCCGGTGAGCAATACCACTTCATGTTTGATGGTAATTTGGGAGCATTTTTATTCGTGATTAATATACTTTCAACTGGAGCAGCAGTTTGAGATTCGGTTTGATCAGATTGTTTCTTTTTGCGGTTCCTGGTTCTTTTTTTTACTGGCTTTTCATCTGCCTGATCCTGTGCCTTTTTACCTTGGTCACACAATCTTTGAATGGCTTTTATAGCTAAAAAAATGTTTAAAAAATTAATAGATGCATAATAGCAATTTAGCAAACACTAATTTAATGGCGATTATTTTGTTTAAAAGATTTAATGATCAATAATATGTTAGTATCAAGTATCTGGGTAGAATCATTTCGGATTGGATCTGGCCTTATTCTGCTGGTTCAAACAATTTCCATTAAGTTAGGAGAGATGTGTGTGGAAATCACTACCAATGGAGTAGGTCCCTAACGGGGGAAATAGTGTAGAGCAATCGGACTACGGCACTTGTAGTATAATACCAAAAGAAATGTTTGCAATATGCCGAGAATCAAACCGATAACTGTACGTGTTTTAGCCAACTACATGATCACTGTCCACTGCGTTAAACCGGGCCCAAATAATAATATCTATACTTAATACTATAAGTAACTATACTGCTATATTTATTTTATTACAATTTTTTAAATAGCTTATATGAATTTTAATTTAAAAAAAAAACCATAGATTTAAGAATAAGTTTAACAATAGATAGTAATTATTTTTACCTTCATTATCATAAAGAGTACATAAAACATCATCTTCAACAGCTCCCCTAAAAGTTATAGTTACTTTGGAACTATCTGAATCTCTTTTAATTGTCACCATTTTAGAACCTTCCACATCATTAGGTTTTTCACCTTTTTTAACAGATGGCACTTTAGCATTTCCCTGTAATTGTTTAGTTTTTTTCTTTGTGTTCTGAGCAACTGGTAATTGTTGAACTTGTTTCTTTAACTGGTTTTTAGAATTTGTTACTTGTTTTTGTTGTTGTTGTTGCTGTTGCTGCTGCTGTTTTAGTAGTTTATTTTGTTGTTTTATTTTTTTTTTCTCTTTTTTTAATACCTCTTCACGCTTAAGCCTTTCCATTTCTTTTTTTTTTTCTTCTTCTTCTAGTCTTTTTTTCTCTGCTTCTTCTTCTTCTTTTTTTTTCCTTTCAATTTCTTCCTGCATTGAACATACATAAATTTTTTTTTAGTTACTTAAGTTACACAATTTAAAAGTAAATATTTTATTAAAAAATATAGTATACCTTTTTCTCGCGTTGTCTGGCTTTTTTTGCAGCTCTTTTTTCATTAGTGGCTTTATTGCCTTCTATGAAATTTACTATCTCATCGATGGGCTTATCAAATAATACTGGTTGGTTTTCGTTTTTCAACACTACCTTTTGTTTAATACTACTTGACAGGACGTCTATTTTCTTTTTAGGCGTAATAACTTTAATAGGACCTATACAAAATAAAATAAATTATATAAGTTACATATTTAGTGATCCAAGATATTCTGATAATAAAATTAATTACAATAACTATGAAAATGTATCAAACAAAGTTGACAAAATAATTTTTTTAATTACATGTGTATTCCAATACAAAAATGTCATACACACACGTAAACATTGATAATGATTGAATACATTTTTTAAGCACTTAAACACATCAATGTTGATTATACAACTTCACAGATTTTCATTTACGGGTTAAAAGGGAATTCTAGTAGCTTTTTATATTTGTACATAGCCTAAAAGAGTACATCTACATTTTTGGCAAACATTAGAATCAAAAATATAAATTAACACTCTTTATACTGGGTAAAGTAATTAACAAAAATAAATTTATCAATTTTCCAAAAAATATCAAACTAAACTTATAGAGTTATTATTTTAAAAGAAAAGTTATCAAAATAGTTTATCAAAAAATGAAATTTTTTTTTCAAAATTTTAATTATTAAAAAACAATAAACTTACCAGATTTACCATTTGTTTGTGAAGGTTGATTAACTAAATTTTCATTTTGAGGTTGATGAACTTTAGATTCTTTTTGTTTTTGTTTCGCAGTATCATTAGGAGGAAGGTGAACATTCTGTTTAGCTTTTTTCAAAAGATAAAGATTTCTTAATCTATCTCTCATTTCTTGATAGTTTCGACTTACTGGTGCCATAGAAGGCTAATGAAACATAAAAAAATTCATATTTAAATTTAACTTCAAAATAAAATTGACAAAATATACATTATAAAATATTGTATAGGAGCATGGTGAGGAGGCGCAGTTGCTGTTCTGCACTGCTACACCATGCTAGTTCTCAGATGGGTGACCACCCATTAGAAACCAGTCCAAACCAAAAATAAATAATGAACCATAAAAAAACTAAATCGTAACAAACTTTGCTAATGACCATAGCAGTTGAAACGGTTACAAAATTTGTATAATGTGCGTAAATGCCAAGGTATAATAATTATGGTGTACCATAAAAAGTGGCATAACCAGAAATCTGATAGTATTTTTTAGAATACATATTTGAGAGAAATAAAATTAATTATGCCATTATTTTGTTTTTTAAATATTCTGTTTTGTTAAAGATTGTGTTAACACCAAATTGAAGTATTAATAAATATTTTAATTTGTATTTTTTACTTGCTTTTGATATAAATTAAACAACTTATACCTAGCGTATGAACACTAGGTTTCTCTATGATGTACACTTGACAGATGTCTTAATAGGTTTTTGATACGTTTAAAAACAAACAAAAATCCTAAACAAAATTTAGAAGATGTCAGAATTGTACAAACGACTGATCGATTATAAAAGTCTGGGTAGTTAACATATACACACAAATAATGATTAAAATCAAGAAAATTAAAAAAAAGGCTACCTATACTAAACGTAACTAATACGTAACTGGAAAACGTTTCAGTCATATTTTATAAATTTAAAATCTGACCAATATAGGAAAGCTTATCTTTATGGATACTAAATTTAAAAAGTATATATAATAAATATTATATTTTAATTATGATTATTATTATGATAAATGTATTATTTTTTTATATTTTAAATTATTAAGTAATAACATAAGCTCATCATATCAACTGTAAAACAGTAAAACATATTAACATAAAAACTGTAAACGTTTTTTGGAAGAGGCGTTCTATTTTCTATTTTCTTATCTTTGATTAATACAAACTCATGTCACTTAATAAAAGTTAAAAAGATATTTTCTTTTTAAATACTTACCACTCCATGTCCAAATACTTCACAATAACAACAATCACATTGTCTTGGACTAGAAGCTGACCGTTCCGAACAGCTGTCATCTTGACTTGAACGTGCCGAACTTGTTTCTAATATTTCATCATGATGGTGTATTCTCTTGACATGTTCAGTATGTTTGAGACAAGAATGGCCATGAGATGATTTAATATTAGCTTTTGTTGCAATGGGTTCAATGGGTGGTTTTACCCACTGAGGATAAGGATGTCGCCGTTTAGGTTGTTGTTCAACTTTACTCCCAACATTTTTGTCATTAGGAGATATACATTTGGAATTTAACACAGAATTTGATTTAGCTTGAGACTCGGCTCTAGCTGCTTCTACAGCTTGTCTTAGGCTAATGATCGGACCCTGAAATGTTGGTTTTATTTTTAAATAAAAAATATGTTATAATTTAAAAAATAAAAATGAATTAGTACTTTTTGAACGGATTGTTTGACTATATTATTTTTAACTAATACTGGTACTTCATCTTTTTTGGTTTTTTTATCTACACCATAAATGACGATCATCTTGTCTCTAAGTGAAGAATACGAAAAGGCATCTAGAGAAGTCTTTGAACCCCCTTTTGTCTGGTATAGACATTTTCTATTATGAGCATTTGGATCAGAATTACCATTCTGCCGAGAATCTACCTATGGTAACAAAACAAATGGGTAAAAACAAAATTAATAAATTATGACTACTGTTTTATCGTATATTTCAATCATAGGAATATACCTAACAAATTATTAACTTTATCAATTATTCTAGGTGCAACCTAACATACTGTGTAGTTAGTAAACTTTAATATGATTTAAACTATTTCTTACTGTTAGTGTAGAATCATGTAAACAATCACAAAAATTGGATTCGCCATCTTCATCAATATTCTCACAATCACCGTTTTCCATTTTTTCTCTACACCAAGTTTGTAAATTAATTTAATTGGTTGGTTAATTTTTTACAATATTTAAAAAACAGATTTAATCTTACTGATATTCAGGAGCTGGTGACTGAGGTGGTGTAATAGGAGCAGATCCGTTTATCAAATTTATAGAGTTATACACTGACAGATCTATTCCATTTTCGTCTTTCAGAACAGATTCTCTATATTTTTTTGCACCAGACGCCCAAACTTCATTACACCTATTTAAATAAAAAAATTAAATTGTTATTTTATTGTTTTGTTATTGTTGTTTTACAAATTGTTATTTGTTGTTTTAATATACTAATAAATTATAAAAGTATTACATACTTTATATTATGTATACAAGTTCTCGCTTCAGCCCATTCTGATATATTGATTTTTACTTCTTTGACAAAATTACTATAGTCATGAATTAAGTTTGAACTCAATGAGGAATTGGCTAACACAGGTGACGCTAAAATCTAATGAATAATATTTTTTAATTATAACTTAAAAATACGAATAAGTAACCAAAAACTTACTTGTTCTATAAAAGTAGTTACAAGATGATATACAGTTGTATCTGCATAAAGTCGACTATGATACAAATACTGATTCATCATTCGCCATGACAAGTTGAATGCTGATAAATGATGTTCTTCAAGAGGCCTAAGAACGTCTTTCAAATAATCTGCGGCTGCCATTAGTTTTCTATAGTTATCTAACAAACCTAAGCAACCAGCAGAATTCCGTCATGTTTTAATAAGTTCAATAAAATAAAAAATTAACTTACAAAAAACAAAAACTAGAGGCAATTCCGGAGCTTCTTTAGGCTTTTTTTCTAACATTTCTAATTGTTTAATTCTTGCTTCCAACACAAATTCCATTACAAGATTTTCTACATTTTGGAAAACATGATAAGAATCACAGCTTTTCGATCTAAAATTAAAGGGTAATATAAATAAACTTGAAAGATACTTGTGTACTATATGGACTCCAATATTTTTATATTATTATAATAATTATATATATATATATATATATATATATATATATGATAGAATAATTCACTACACATTAACTTAGTTACTAATGAAGCAATTGCTTGCCCTCCTAGAGGACGGCAGGTCACTAAGTGTTTTGGCACTCACTCGTTGCTACGCTAAACGAAAAATATCCTAGGTTTGTAGGGCACTGTCTAGGAGGAAGTCATAGGTTTTAAGTTAAGTCAAGTTGACCTGTGAGTTCCTTCTAGCTGTAGCCTACAAACCTAGAATATTTTTAGTTTAGCGGAGTGAAGCCACACTCAGTGATCTGCCGTCATATAGAAGGACTGGTGAGGGGCAAGTAATCGCTTTATTTTTCTAACAAATAACAAACGTTATTCTAATAACCCTATTATATTGAAAAAATAGGAAGGGGGGCTCTTATAGTACATAAGTACCACTTAAAAACAGTTTTTTTTAAATAGATTGTATTCCTACTCTTCTGCAGCGTCTTTGAATATCTTGAGGGCTGGATAACAATCAATTTCAACACCGTCCATGGCCATTCGATACACAGAACGAATATAGCTCATTAGAGCATTCCATTTTTCTTCCCATTTTTGAGTTTCATTGTCATCACTAAAAATAACATACAACAATTAAAAAATTAATTTTTGATGCAGTAAGTATGATATTACTTTAAATTATTGTTTTTCATAAGATCGCAAAGATCACAGCAGCAATCTTTATCCTTTTGGTTAACATGATGGTTACACACTTTTTGAAGCTGAAAGTAAAGATAACACAATGTTAATGTACAGTTATCTATTTTAATTTGTTATATATATTATTATCATGAGTCTATTATAGCATGTTTACACGTAATTATGGAGAAACATTACATTAACTGAACTGAACAATTTATATTCTAATATCAGCTTGCAAAATCCACAAATTTGAGCTGTATAACGCAAAATATAAGTTTATAATTAATAAGTTCATAAATTCAATTACAGTGCAAAATTTCTCCCAGTGCTCTAAATTTTAAGACTACAAATGCCATCGAACACCATACCATTCTCTTCAATAAAGACTCACTATACTGGATGTGATATCTACACACTTCTTTCCTAACCTTTGTCATCTCCGTTGATAACGTTCGTTCGTAATTAGCGTTTTGACTCATACATAGATTACAAATCTATGAGTTTAAAGTTAAAACTGTTGGAATTTATCCATTTTTAAGAAACCAGAAGAAGTCCATAACTTTGTAGATTAGTAGATTATATTGGTGTTAAAGATTTAAACAACCCTACAAATTTGTGTTACTATAAAAAATTATATCCATAAAACCTAATTAAAATAATAAAATAAGACACTAATATATATATATATATATATATATATATAAATCTGAGATCATCATGTAGTTTAACGGACTATGAAGGCCCAACACTGCCATCATGAGATGGTTTCTTAACAAATTCGCTATCCGGGATGGGTCGTCAATCCGTCGTTGGGGAGTGGGATGGCGGTTTTTTATCACAGGACGATTGCTCGCCGGCAAACGGAGAACCCGTGACCGAGTGTCAAACTAGCGACAGTGAGCGCTAACACACTGCTGCTTTACCCACTCGACCACTCCTCCTCCTTATCTGAGATAACAACACAATATGAATTGGGAAATTTAAAGAATTACACACTATTTTAAAAATACCTAAAAATCATATATAAAAGAACACTATCCTATTTGAAACAGATATATTTTGATCAAGTTGGAAGTTTAAAGGTTTTCACTAGTTGTAATAGTTGAAATTATATTTTAAATATGCTCAGACATAATCACAAATTCAACTTCAATCTTGGACAAAGCTGAAGCATCAGTAATAGTGAATGCATCACACATCAGAAGGGAATTGTAAAGAGGAAAGTTCATAAGCGCTACTAGGGTTAAAATCTTAGGGGGCTACAGCCCTCACCAAAACTTTGGACTAAAAATAACCCAAGGAGGTTCACACTCCATACCGTACCTTCAATATCATTACACATTTTTTATAGAAATTGTTTTACCTGTAACATGAGATTAACAATAAAAAACGATTTCATTATCAATTTCATACTTACAAGGCAATAAAAACAATTTCACATAATATTACTTGAAAAAAACCTATGATTCAAGTGTAAAATATATTTTTATCCATCAATATTTTATTACAAATCGCACATAATCTATAATAGTTAAACTAAAAAAATATTTTGAGTTTTAATAACATTTAATAATCATTTTCAATATTTCAAATAACAAAATACTAAAATTTAACTGATATTCAAGTCTACAAGGAATATTTTATGAATGCGTTTAAGCTTTTGTGGATTGATATATCATTTGGAATAGTTTCAGATATATCCACGTCAATAGTTATAGGTTGACGTTTCGGACTCATTGCAGGGTCCATCTGCAGGGCGATAATGAACTATATGAAGGAATATTTTAGCTACCCCCTAGTTGGATTGCTGGGTAATTCCTGTCACTGTACATATAATACAGGAATGGCGCTCAAGCCGTGTGGTGGAAGGCCCACGACCTGTCATGCGCGTTAGCACACCGGTGCCTCATGCTTAACCGCACTGGTTAGTGCTCTAACACTGAGCGGAAGGTTCGCAAGAACCCGCCCAAATGGGCAACGCTCAGCGAGGTCGGCGACTGACAGGGCCGAGGACGGCACGAGGGCCTTTGCTGAGCCCGCTCAGGGTGGTCGGTCGTGCGCTAGGCGCAAGCGGTCAGTAAACTGGCCGTGGTTATCCTTGTGGTTAGGGGAGAAAGAATACTACCAAGGTCTTCGATCCTGTCGTAAAAGGCACCGTACAGCCCTTCTGACAGGTCACTTCTTCTTGTGACATACCTTCTCCGGCCCGCAATTTGCTAATTTCCTAACTGGGTGCTCCCGCAGTGCTACTAGTCGGTGCGCAGTCGTAGGGGATCCCTTCGGGGCTAACCACTAAAGCCAAGGAACATCTGTACATTTAATACACAATATAGGAATATAACCATATTTTTGTTGTCCGGTTTTCAATTAAAAAAAGAATAACGCTTAATCAAATAAACAAATGAAAGAGTAGGAATATCATCTCCTAGAAGAGATTCTGAGTTCAACTCTGTTTTCAGAATCCTTTTAACATCAGTAAATTGATCGATACGTTGGAACAAAAATATGACTAAATTCAATATTGCGAGTTAAATGGACAGATAGAAAATACGGCTTTCTTATACCCTTAATCTACAACAATATATTATATTGTCAAATAATACAGACAAATATCCGAGATGCTAATGTAATGATTGCGAGTGGATAAGCATCCTCAAAGTCCCTGAGATTTGCGCCTACGTTCGGTCAATATTTACGACGTTACCTTCAATCATAATATTATGATTCTATACGACTACACATCAGGATGAATTTTATTTTTAATACAGTCCAAAAAATATTGTACGATAATTTTATAAATAAAAAAAATAAACTTCCTACTGTGCGGAATGTTAATTCCACACATTCTACATAATAATATAATAATAATTGTCATTTGACTGTGGTTCATCACAAGAGCAGTTGAGCATATTATTATAATATTTACCTGTTCGTGTTGATTATTTTCGTGGTCAAAAACAGCCATGTCGATGCCGTTACATTTGCCACAGCTCTCGTGCACAGGTTGAATAACGTCTCGAGTTCCGTTGCTGTTGTTATCCACGTTCGAAGTCACCGTAATGCTCATGACTTTTTCCGGAATAACATTCGATCACACGCTCGGGGTAAATGGACGCGATCGGTCACGCACACACAATTCACAAACAACGCGTCTAGCGAGCAGAGCAGCGTGTGATAACACGGAGGACGAGCGTTGTCAAAATATGTTTGATGCGATCGGTAATTACATACCACTGTTTACAATGGTTAATTTTCGGGTATCGTTTTTTTATTAAAATTATTTTTAAACCTGAGATACTGTAATTCTATAGGCAAAACATCTGTAAAGATTGCATATTTTTCGCGAAAATTATCTTACAAGCCACAATAAGTGGATAATTAATCATTTAAACTACACCGATTCGTAAATTCGTTTAATCCCCGTTTGAGTGTTAGAAATGTTAAGTGCTATAACATAATACAGACAAATACCATTTTTCTCTCTCCGTAAATCTATTCGTACTTTATCATTTAAAAAGCAATCAAATGCCTCCGATTATAATAAAGGAACGAAAAAATTATTCCAATAGTCTAATGCCGGCCATCATAATATTATTATTATTATTAATTATTAATTTTACGTTTAACGTTTTTTAACCTCTTTGAAATTTGATAACACTAACCGTGATAAAATGTATCGGTTTGATCAAAGATTGGGAGAAAGTTTGAAATGTATTAGGACTTTGAACTTACAATTTTTATTTACAAAGCTACACTAATGTATAATATCAGTTTTATATGAGTAGGCATTGCATAATTTAGTTGTATACATCAAGGATAATTTTTACTGCTAGGATCCACAAAATAAGTATTTTATGATAAAATAGTAATGTAATAAAACACAGTGTATCCTGCATACACCAAAGGACAAATTTTATAAGAAAGAGAAAGTGGACGTACAAAGAAATTGGCTATTTAGAGAAATTCTATTTATTAATCCAGCTTCAGTACTGTTAATTATTTGATCCAGTCTAGGTTTGTCAAATGAGTATAACTAGTTAAAATAATGATTCATTTTTTTATTGATTTTTTTAAACAAATTAAATATCAGATAATATATTATTTTTTGGGAGCTTTTGCTATAATTGATGATATACAGAATCGAGACAAGAATCAATTTGGTATGTATTTAATCAAGTATTACTGTTATAATAAGTTTAAGTTTTATTTTTTTTTTTTTTTTAAGACATTAGTCAACACAATAAAGTTGCTGTCGTTACTGGAGGTGCTCGAGGAATTGGATTAGAAGTTGTTAAAAAACTGTTACAATGCAACTTACACGTTATAGTTGGTAAGTACATTTATTTATTATAATATTATGAATTATAACACTGATATTGTTTTAATGAATCAAAAGTTAATGTGTGAGGTGAAAATGTCTGATATTTGGATAAGAAGTTATTTTACAATAGTATTCAAGAAAAAAGAAAAGGTATACAATTAATGAGGCACACAATGAAAGTTTAGAGAAAAGATGTGTAGAAAAAAAGTTGAAGAGTGAAACATAAGTAAATGACAATCAAATCAAATTGAGCCAATATTTTGTATGAAGCTGTTAGTTCAGTGGTATAGAAGTATGGTTTTTTTCACATCCTCCTTGTACCTACCATTTTTTTGTACCACCGATCCTAAGTACTTAAACATATCAACCTCACACACTTCATCATCACCCATCTGCATTACCTGTCTTACACTATAACTTTCTCCAAAATCAAACACGATTGTCTCCGTTTTACTCTTATTAATCCTCAGTCCTTTCTCCTTTCTGGACTTTCCCCCACAAACACAACGTCATCCACAAACATCTTACACCATGGCACCGCACCTCCCCCTGTATATTTTTCGTAATCTCGTCCATTACTAAAGAGAACACGTAAGGACTCAACGCTGAACCTTGATGCACACCTGCTCACACTCTTATACTGGTTTTTTCATATAAATTTGGTAAAAGTGTATGATGGGGTTCAATAAGAGAGGTAATATTGGTAGTTCTAAGAATGATGAAACGTGTCCGATGAATATATTTATAATATAAAAGAATAGTCACAAGATTAAGTATGGAATACAAATAACTTTTAGAAAAAAACCCACTTTCACCAAAATGTTAATTGTATTACCATAAAGTAGTATAACTACTGTGTTAGGCATCAAAATGTCAACATCTAGTTTTTACCTTTTTTTGTAAAGATTATTCCCGATTACAATTTCACTCTCAATAAAATAATAATAATTGTTTTATTTTTATTTTAGGATGCCGGGATGTAAGTTTGGGTTTTAATGCTATTAAACAAATCGCTCCAATGAATGGATCATTTGTAGTTTACAAACTTGATCTTAAATCATTTGCTTCTGTTAAAAACTTTGCTCAACAAGTGCTGTCAAAATATGATCAAATTCATTTACTTGTTAACAATGGTATCTAATTTATGTTTTAATTAGTATAACTAGTCAGATTTAATAATGTCAAACAATCAAATACAAAGTATATATTTTTTCCATTATTTAGCTGGTGTTATGTTTGTTCCGTATGAAAAATGTGAAAATGGTCATGAAGCTCATTGGACTACAAATTATTTGAGTCATTTTTTGCTAACTGAATTGTTGTTGCCTGTTTTGAAATCTACTGGTGTACAGGGTGATAACGCAAGAATTGTAAACGTAACGTCTTGTGCACATGAAGCTTCTCCTCCAATTGATTTTGATACAATAAATAATGAGTACATATTATACCTGACAATTATAATTTTTGTTTATTTAAGTTTTATAATTTTGTAACAGGGAAGGATATATAACAAATGCAGCTTATGCAAAATCTAAACTGGCACAATTAATATTTACAAAGTATTTGAACAAAATATTGGCCGACTTTCCTGTTAAAGCTTTTGCCGTACACCCAGGTGTAGTGGATACAGAGTTGTTCAATGGTACATTTTTGAAAATAGCTTTTCCTTGGATTTTGAAATATATTTGCAAGGTATTAAAAAAACAACAATTTTTACAAGTTTTTATAAGTATTTACTTATTATTGCACAAAGAAGTACCTTAGCCTGACTAACTTTCTTTGAAATAATATACTTCTTATTTTAACTATTTTATCTATTGTACACTATTTACAATGATCCAAAGATTACAATTTATTTATTTTCTTAATAAAACTTTATAGAAATTACCACATTAAGTACTGAAACATCTTTTGAGAGAATCGTTTCTAAATATAATACTGTTACGTCATATATTATTTTCCACATATTTTATCCCTTTAATATTTTGTTTTTCAGACTCCAGAAGAAGGCTCTAGGTCTATAGTGTATGTTTGTTTGTCTGATGCAGTCGATGGACGTGGATACTATTATGCGAATTGTCAACCGGCAAAATACTTACCGTATGCCGATGATGCAAAAATACAAGAAATACTTTATACTATATCAAAAAACACAGTGGAAAAATATTTGAATCCTTAAACCATTTACTAAATTTTTTGATAGTAACAAATTGTATAGTTACTCAGATACTGTTTATTGTCATTATAGCAAACTAAGTGTCAAAAAATCTCAATTCCTGAATCTATTGAATAGACTGGTTTTATTTATTATTATTGGATTTTTTTAATTTTATAAATTTTATAATGGCAACATTTGTTTATAATTTATAATTTGTATTTTAGTTTTTGTAATAAAAATATTAATACACATATATATATAACATAGTTTGATGGATAATTAATGTAGTATTCTATTTTATTTTAATAATAATATTAAAACTCATGTTTACCCTTCTTTAGATGCACCTTGTTCTACATTTTTCTAAATTTATTTTTTTTACTCGGGATAATTTTTCATTTAGTTTTATAGTTTTAATTAAATTATTTAAAATTGGAGGTGTAGGACTAGGGTGGCCGACTCCATGTAGTTGGGAGTGTAAGGCGGAGATAAAGAAGAAGAAGAATTAAATTATTTAAAATATTCTAATAAATTGCCATATAAGTTTTTAACAGAGCTGTTTTGGACTCTACCAAATATTTAACAGTACATTTTTTGAATAAATTTCTTTATTCCCTGTTTTGAATATTTTTAATTTTAATAGTTTTTTTATTTTAGTCTTTTAAAGTCTTAGACTAATTCTGAATGTTTTTGTTTTGTAGCTTGAGTTCTTTTTGAATCTCCAAGATCTAAATCGTAAAATACCTCAAATCAATTTTGTTTTAAATCATTTTAATAAATAGTATTATCATTACTTTTAACTTTTAGTGAAGAATTAACCTTAATTAATTTGAAATAAAAAATATGTCCCTTAATATAGGCAATGCAGTGTACAGTTAAGCAGATTAGCACATTTCAGTAGTTCAGTACATAGGCCCCTGGATATAAAGGGATATCTAATTTGGGTGGGTCAATGTTGAAATGGAATAAAACAAGCTGTGTGTGAGGTATTAAAGAAATTCTTTATTTATTTGAAAGGCACATTTATATAATTATGTATGAAATATGACATCATTCAAATGTCCACCGTGGCTTCGCACGGTGGCATAGATCCGAGAGGTCCAATTTTCAACAACTCTGCCGCATAGATCCAGCTGAATTTGAGTGATGGCCTGGGTTATGTTGACTTTGAGGGCATCGGTCGATTGCGGCTTATTGGTATAGACCTGCGACTTCGGAAAACCCCCACAAGAAAAAGTCTAGCGGGGTCAAATTGTACGATCTTGGTGGCCAATTCACGTCACCTCTGTGAGAGATAACCAAACCCTCAATCGTTCATGCAGAATATCCATCGTGGCATCGAGTCATTGAAAAATAAACCTCTCAGCGGACATTTGAACGATGTCATATTTCATACATAATTGCATACATGTCTCTTTCAAATAAATAAAGAATTTCGTTAATACCTCACACACAGCTTGTGTCATTCCATTTATCATTTCATCATCGACCCGCCAAAATTGGAAAACCCTTTAGGCAACCGAATGTATAGTTAAGCAGTTCAGTAAATTGGACCTTCGCTCCATAGAAAGAATATTAAAGCTTTGATCACTCCACTATTTCTTTGAATCTTCAAAATATTTTGACAGCCAAATTATCAATTCCCCACTACGGTATACGTAAATCTATAACCTCCACAGTATCTACAGCAGTGGTAAACTGGTTTCAGGTAAAAAATTATAATTAGGACAATTGTTTATTGGATTTTAAGGGTGTTTGGTTAGAGTGGTGCTATCCCGTGGTAGTCCCCGTTTGTAAAGATAGCATACAAAAAGCTCGTACCCTACTACAGATTTAAAAGACCGTGCTAAATTGTCATGTCATTTAATATTTTATATAATATAAAATAAAATATTATTTTACACTGATGAGTGATGAGTAATTAGGTATAAGACTTGTGAATTATATCATTAGACCTTACAATTTTTATACATAAAATTAATTAAAATTCGACTATAGTTGTAATAACTAATTATTGTTTAATTGTGGACAAATCGAAAAAAAACCGCCTAGAAAAGTTATATGAAATGACAAAAAGAAAAAGTAATTTGATCGCAAATCAAAACGACCAAGCGCCAGACGACGGTCCAGAAAAAGGTATTGTATTAACTTAATTTAATTCGAAATAGAATCAATAAGGTATTGTTATTACAATGATGTGTTTTTTTTTTGTGTGTACCCTCTATATCTTTTAAACCGCTGAACTGATTTCTTCGTGTAGCAACTTTATAGATAAGAAATCTTACCTGTAAGGTACGTTATTGGACCAAAAATTTAAAAAGTTCATCACTTCCCTTTCAAAATCGAGGAAACCCCAAAAATGTTTACATATTTTTCAACATAATATTACAGCGCCCCATAGATTTTTTAAAAATAGTTAAATATAAATCCCAAATTGTATGGACTATTTTTTAAACATAGTACTACCAATAAACATTGACAAACCAAAAAATAATATAAACCTTTTCCCCTTGAAGGGATAGAAATGTTTTCTTTTTATAGCTTTTTGAGGTGAAGTTTTAGGGTTTATAGGTCTGAAAATTAGACTGAAGGTAGATGTATAATGGAACTGATGTTCCTTGGCTTTAGTGGTTTACCCCGAAGAGATCCGCTACGACTGCGGACCGACTAGTAGCACTAGGTGCTAATTGCGGGCCGGAGAAGGTGTGTCTCAAGTATATAATGGAACTATAACATATATAATTTTCTCAAAAATCTGTAGTCAAACTTTTTTTTATTAAACAAAAACCCCCAAAAAATTGAAAATTACAGTTTGACCATAGAAAATTTCTAGGTTGCAATGTGTGATTGAATCAACAGGTAATGAAAATGTGTTCATTATTTTGTTATTTACGATCTATGGGTAACTATGGCAATACATTTTTAAAGACAGACGAATGACGATCAACCCTAGTACTAAATGTGCTAGGGTTGTATGTATTTTTAAGCACATTATTGTCATTAGATACAATGATCGATATTTCTATATTTATTGATTTGATTTTATCATTTTCAGTTATAATAAGTCCTGTAGACCTGTGACCTTCCCGTCTCCCCCATGCCCACCCTACACTACTGTCTTTTTTAGAATAAAAATAATTTATTGATAATTACGTAGAGGTCTTTCATGTTGTTATTTTATTACAGGTCTAATAAATGAGTTAGTAAACTGTAATGATGAAGAGCAAACCATCAACACTCAACTACAAGAAACGCCAACTAATCATATTTATGATGAAAAATCCGAATCTAGTACTTCATCAAAAAGAATTGATGAATGCCAAATAATACATAACGAGTAATAATTTTATTTTTAACCGTTTACTAATAAATGGTTTTTTCTTGATTATTTTATTTTTAATAAATAATGGCAAAAATTGTATTAGGTATAATTCCACAGATGGAATATACCTATATGTCAATATACTGTCCATATTAACTGTCCCGATAAAGGTATTTGCTATAATTGTAGTAGTAGTGGTACTGTTGTCGCTGGAGATAGGAATCAAATAAGTATTAATTCCTGAACCTAAATAAAAAGTATAGTGTGATAAAAAAATTGTTTGTTTTATTTTAGGAAACGTTCTAAATATTTGAGTTGGGATGATTTCTTCATGGCTACTGCATTTTTGGCAGCCAAACGTAGTAAAGATCCCGTGACTCAAGTAGGAGCATGTATTGTAACGCCAGATAAGAAAATTGTAGGTACCGGATACAATGGCATGCCGATTGGATGTAATGACGATAATTTTCCTTGGGGTAAAAGTAGTAATAGCAAATTGGACAATAAATATTTTTATGGTAATTGATAATTAAAAATAATATTTATTTATTACAATAATAAATAATTTAAGTTTTTTTACACATTGTAAAAATCAATCGCTTTTATTACATGTACAGTGTGTCATGCCGAAATGAATGCGGTATTAAACAAGAATTCATCAGATGTACGCAATTGTATTATGTATGTTGCGCTTTTTCCTTGCAACGAATGTGCAAAAATAATTATTCAATCTGGTATAAAAGAAGTGGTATACTTATCAGATAAGTATGCTCATAAACTAGAAATGATTGCAGCCAAAAGGATGTTCAACGCTTCTGGAGTAAGCTATAGACAGTACATTCCATCTGTTCAACGACTCGTGCTCGACTTTTCTGAAATTAATTCAAATATGACTCAAATGCCAGACACGCCCAATAAATTTAATTAAAAACTCTTGACTATAAGTATACTATTTATTACATGTTATTGTTGTGTTATTATGACTTTAGGAGTCCTGGATAAAAAAAAATACAAATATTTTGTGTAATTCAATTATTAATTGACAATAAATATTTCTATTTGTATGTATACAGTAGATAAATAACCCTTTTGTAATCAAATGTTACCAGAAATTTCTAAATAAACTAACAAAAAAAACATTTTTAATTAAAAACTCGTATATTTTATTTATCTGAATTGTCCTTCAAATTTGTTTAAATATTAGTTATCATAAAATATAATTTACCTTAGATTATGCAACATAAAACATATAAGCAAAAATATACAATTTACCAATTTATGGTTCTTAAGAACCACTTGTTTAAATAAGTATTAAATATAATAATAATATATATATATAAATAACAAAGCTCACAATAAAATAAATATGAAAGTGTATTTATATGATTAATAACAATTATGAGTATAAATATAATACATTTTATAACATTAAAATAAAATACAAATTTAATATATTTCTTGCAATAGGAAAATGTATACTGAATAATTACGTAACTTGCCACTGAAAAAAAAAAAATACAAGGTCATTAAATTTTGTTTATTTACTTTACTTGTTTTTGAAAATATTTCTGATTTGAAGAGTCATTTTCTTACATAAGTTACCTTGATATTTTGTGTATTATATATGACAAAATTTGGTAAAAATAAGTATTTATTTATTCTTTTCAGTATATGTTTTAGGTTCTAGAAACCCAGATTTTTAACTGTTCCGTAATTTTAATACATATAGTTTACAATGTATGGTACATTGAACTGGATTTAATACTATTACAATATTTTTCAGCTAGTATATTAAATATTTTAACAATGAAAGACCTAATTTATATATTATTACTGTATAATGTAACAAATATATATATATATATATATATATATATATATACATAGGCCAAATACTTGTATTAGGTTTTTGGCCAAAGCGACATTCCCCATGTACATTCAGTACTTAAAAAAATATATTTTCTATTAAATTTTCATGTTTTGGAAAAAATGTTGATAGGTGTGAATTTTTGGGTGTAGTGTACATGTTCAGTAGAATCGAACTATAGAGTAGGAAAAAAGTTATGCATAAGTGTCGAAAACCTATGTTAACTATACTCTATCCCAAATAAGAAAGCAGAAACGCATGACGGAATCTGGTGCGTCTCGCGCATTCCACGCTGCACTACCAAGTATTCTGGTTTCATAAATAAAAATGATATTAACAAAAAATGTACCTTTAGACCCGATCCAGAAGTTGCTGCTGCTTTAGCAGCATCTTCATCGCGTTTTTTAAGTTCACGTTGAATACGTTTTACGCGTTCAGGATTTTTGACACCTCGGCTCTCTTGTTCTTTTAAACGCTTCTCTGCAGCTGCCGCCTGTTGCTCACGGACTATTGCCTACAAACAATTAAAATACAAAAAACCATAATACGGTTTTAAACCCAAGTACTCAAAAATAAGTTTTATAATTTCTTTTTAATATTACAACGTCTATTCTAGTAGATTCTTCGGAATTGACGCAACAACTGAATAATTTATAAATATTCCAACCCATGTTTCTATTGGACTACAACTACATGAAAAACAATGCAATTTCAGAGTATCATAAGAATATAAGTTATAATAAATAATTACTTTGATTGAACAAAATTAAAACCACTCGAGTATTTTTAATTTTGTAGTTTATATTTGGTTTTAATTGTCATTGTTTTCTAGTTTTCTGTTCGACTATAATTTCAGTTGTGCTGATAAGAGATAAAAATTAACAAAATACAAACCATAAGAACTCCTACAATTTCAATTTTAAAATAATATTACTATTATTATCTATACGGTATACCTATGAGTATTATTATTAAGTTAACTTGACGCGTTTTTTATTTTACTGAATAAAAACATTGTAAGTTATTTAATCGCACTAATGGCATCTAGAAATAACGCTCAATCATCGGCACAAACCGACTCATGGCACAAACATAATTTGTATAGAAAAAAATGCAAAGACATGAAAAAACACATAAAAGATACCGTATTTGTATGTATTTACACGTCGTGTAATATTCTACTATTTCTTTCAAAATTATTTTGTAATTGCTTGCAGGAAAATGCAGCTTTATGCGATGAAATAGCTCGTGTCCAAGAAAATTTATTGATTGTTCGAGAAGAATGTAAATTTTTAGTAAAAAAAGTCAAGCAGTTTGAACCACAATTTGGTAAATAATAATATTTAATTACATATATTTTTTTTATTAAGGCTACCATCGCATATTTGTATAACTAAATATATTTCAATTATTTTTAAACCTTATAATATTTAATATTGTCAATAACACATTGAAGAATGAAGTTGAACTTCATCCGTGTGTCCCGTGACACACTCAGTTTTTTTATTTACAAATTATAGTTTTATTTTGATGATTATGTCTGAAATCTACGGTTAAATTAGCTACCTAAACTGAATCTACTTCAGATTCGTAATCAGTGTAAAAAATACATTAATTAACTAGAAAAAAACAGTGTCCGGTAAAGTAAATTTGTACTTGATAATTATTTTTTTAACTTGCAATATGATGGGAGGAATACAAATGTTTCGCTCTGGCTTACTTCATATGATATGGTAATAAACATGGGTGAATTGTGTCGTTACCAAAAATCCCATTTCTCTGACAAACCTTTTATACAATTTTATATTTAATTTTATATAAACATGTTTCAGACTTAGAAGCAGCAAATCTCGATTCCAGTGTCGTGAAAAAACCTTCAGCAAGAAGAAAGACTAATCCAAATGGCAAGTGCATAACTTTCTTACTTATATAATTATGAACAAATTAACTAAATAAAAACTTTTTTTATAGGTGTTCCCAAGCCAAAACGCCCAAGTTCAAAACGAAAGAAAAATATAGAAGAAGTAGAGGAACCAATGTCGATTGGCCTTGTTAAAATTTTTAATTTTGGTCAAGTATGCATTCATATGATTACAATATGAATAGCCAATAGGTTTAATTGGTAATCATTTTTGACAAAATGACAATCTTTCAGATTACGTACGATACACCATTTTTTCACACAGACTGCGCAGTCTACCCAGTTGGATATTACGCAACTAGAACCTACGCTCATTACAGAAATGTCAACTTAAAATACGTTTATCATTGTAAAATTACAAAAGCCGGTTCGTGCCCAAGGTTAGTTCAATAAGAGGACTAGAAGCTGTAAAAGCGACTGTAGATAGATATATATCGTAACAACCAAATTTCAAAACATTTTATTATTATAAGTTTTGTTTTCAGATTTGAAATAATAGACCAGGATAACATTTTTAAAGTGTCAGGCTTAACTGCCGATGAATGTCACGGCCATCTCATATCGTTAATTAATAAATCGCTCGGTACTGAAGATTTAGTGCCATCATATAACAATGGGGATTTATTTTTTGGATTAACCTTGCCATTAGTACGTTATAAGTTGCAAGAAAAGACTGAAATTAAATTCTGTACAGGATATGTTCCTTTACCCCCTCAGGTATGTTATTTTATTCATCTCAAAATGTAAGAGGTTTATATTTAAAATTATCGCTTTTCTTCTTTCAGCCTTTGAATTGCATTCCTGATGAATCAGATGAAAATGATCCTTCGGTGAGCTTTGACGGACTTCAAGCTTATATTAAAAAGTTTATAACTAGAAAATCATAAACATATTTGTATTTTTAATTTGTTACTTTAATTTATTTATAGTAAAAAATAAAACATTAGAACAATTATTAGTAATACAAGTTAAAACTAAAATATCACAATTTGTGCACAACATATTGTGAATATAATTTTAATAATTAATTTACGTGAAATATGTTCTTTTTATTTGCACATATACTGTAAAAAAAAAAAAGTATAATGTCTTACAATATTAACAATATTTTACCTTCTCTAGCACTGTAGAACAGTAATAGATAACTGGATTTTTTAATAATAATGTGATTAGCAAAATTCTTTGGTAAAACAATAAACAATAAATCATAAACATTTAATTCTCATTTTAATATTGATCTATTTTTGAATAAATTTAAAGCTGCTCACTGTATCTGTCGACTACCATCAGTTATTGGTCACAGCTTATCAAAAAATTGTGTAATTTATTACTGGCCAATTATAATATTATAAATTATGATTATGATATAAATTGGAAGTTACAGTTTGGATAAAAACATAATATTATTTGTTAATTTGTTGTCTTGTACTGTGAAAGTTAATTAAATTAATAGGAATTGACTTATTATTTTTATGTCTTATTGTCTTTTATTTTATTTTTCAATTGGGCATCTTAATACATTTTTTTAAATTTGGTTTTAATTATAATTCATATTCAGTATGTTAAAACTCATTAACATTATAAGCATTTTTATAAATTGAAATATATTTTTAAAAAATACTTATTTAAATAAATTAATTATATACATAATTAATTTAATAATAGCTATAGTGATGTTTGTAAAGGCTTTTTAACAAATAACTCGTGACTGTGAATGCATTTACATAGATTTTTTTTTGCTAATTCCCTGGGAAAATGGGTTAAAATAAAATTTTAAAAATATTTTATATTTTGCTAATATGTGTACAATGTTTAATTACCATTTTTTTATATTTATTTATATATATATGAATAAATAATAATTATACAGTTTACTACTAAATTTTTAGTTAGTCTCAAATATATTGATGGTGAATTATTGTGTGTAGTAGTTTCATGTACTTTTTTTTACAGTTATGTTTATTCAAAGACATCGATTTTTTAATAATACTTTGATATATTTTTATAACTTTTTGGTTGTTTAATACCCATTATGCCATTTTTACATCACATGTATGAATGCATTTTTTGGTTAGCTTTTAGAACATAAGTTCTTATCGATTTTCAAGAATCGAGTACATAAAATCGCACTGTCTTAAAAGTTGAAGTACTTACAAAAAATAAAAAAAATATGTTGTAGCTTATATTTCAAAAACCGCGCTTTAACATGATAATACTTTGCAGTGTCCTCACATAGTCAAACTCTACAGATATGATAACTGTTGAAATTCAAGCCTGAAAAAAAAATCAAAATATTATCATTTATCACGATAAACACAAAAACAGCTGTTTTGTTCACAATTTACATCACATTCAATATCGTTTGACCTACCCAGTTGAACCTTTATCCGATTTACGTTTGCCGACTTTGTAATACCTAATTGTCGTGAAGTAAAAATCACCATCAATAGAATCGCTGTTTTAAAAAAAAAATTCCAAGCGTTTTCTTTACACGGCAACATGTTGTCCAGATTAGCCCTTCGTTCTGGTAAGCTTTCAAACTATATTTAAAACGGTCATGTGCAAGTTGAAATTCTGAAATGCGTTTGTTTTCAGAGCTATTCCGTGTGGCGCCCATGAGCGCCACAGTCCGCATGACCCAAACTAAACCAGCGGTCACCAGCGGCAATGAATCAATCATTGTGCCCGGTTTCCCCAAGCCCAACGGCAAACCCCAACCAAATCCATTCGAAGGACCTGAACGAGACTTGGTCAACTTCCCTCGTTTAGTCAGGTTGGAACATCCATCAAAGACTAGGTATTTCATTGTACCGGAAGAGTGGTTTGAAGTTTTCTACAAAAAGACCGGTGTCACAGGTAAAAAAATGTATAATTGTTTTTGCTTTAGCTTGTAACAACAGTTGTATTTTAATCTAATCGGAAATATACAATACACCTAATTTAGTGATAAAATACGGTTTGATCCCAGTAATCCAATTCTGCAACACATCCAGTAACTTGGCCTAGAGTAAACTATGCGTTTTCCCTTAACTTGCAATAATTTTTATACGCTTATTTGTAATTAATCGCTGATAGATACCATCCGCCTATAAACAGCTTGTTGTAGTGGTAGATCTCAACTGTGGCGGTTCTAATGTATATATTTGTATTATTATTAAAGTTGTTTGTGTGTGAAGTATTTGCACGGGCTAACTAGTATGTATATAATGTAATAACGTGATTACAAAACGGATTATTTATTGACTTTAATTATAGAAAAGTAGCATATAGGTAGTACCCCCGCCTACCTTTTGGATAGCTTAACAACTAGAAAGTATCAAAACCAAGGGTGGACCAGGCTATAGGTGTGATATAAAAATGGCCAATGGCTCCCTAATTTTTTATACATTTGTGTCTCGTGGGTCGATTTTATCATAAATATAGTTGCTGTTTTATCAACTTTATAGGCCGCCTTTAAATTTGTCTACTAAGCCTGTCCAACTCGCACTAAACCCTAGCCCAAAAAGAAATACTTAATTACTGAAAAAAAGCATTTAGTAGGTATATAAATACAAACAAATATGTATTATTTTTGGTGTATGTAATAATATGTAAATACAAACAGAATGAAAATACTTATGACATATTTATAGGCTTGTTAAATAAAACCGATTAAGAATGATATGAGGGCTGCTGGTGTATGTGAGAATGATGTGGGAAATCGTGTCAAGTGAAATTTTAGGAAAAGGGTGGCCGACCCCCAATAGTTTAGATGAAGGCAAAGAAGAAAAAGATATTTATAAACTTATTATTTACTATAATCAAAAGCAATTGTTTGTTGAGCAATGAGACAACAAATATATATTATGTTTATAAAGTCCTGTAATTTTAGCGCTCCAAACAAAAAACAGTGTTTCAAATTTTCATCGAAACCAACACTTTAGATGGGTTAAACAAAGGCTGAAGTGTTGGTTTTCGTTCAGCAACTGATACGTGCTATATTTTGTAAGAAGGGTTGATATCATATTTGGCTATTTTTTAGGACCATACATGTTTGGCGTTGGATTAACGACTTACCTTTTGAGCAAAGAAATATGGGTCGTTGAACACGAATTTCCATATGTATTAGCAACAGGTGGTTTGGTTTATTTGGCATGGAAGAAGTTTGGTAAAAGTTTCGCCGAATACCTCGATAAAGAAGTTGATGTATGTAAAATAATATTAGTATCAATTAGAATGAACACACAATTTTTTTAATTAAAAAAAAAAATACTTCTGTAAAGGAATACGAAGCATCTTGTAATGCTGGTCGCCAAGATGAACTTGATGCATTAAAAGATAACATTGAAGCACAGAATAAAGAAGTTTGGAGAACAGAAGCCCAAAAATATATTTACGAAGCCAAGCGAGAGAACATTGCATTACAACTTGAAAGTATTTACCGTGAACGAGCTCTACAAGTGTACACACAAGTATGATAATTAATCTTTGTAAATATCATATATATTATGCAACATCTTGATTGCAAATGGAATATATTTTCATAGTTCAAACAAAAAATAACTAATGAAGAACATATCGTCGTTGCCGCGAAAAAAACCTCCCATGTGCTTAAAACCTAAATGTTAAGGATATACTAAAACGTGTTAAACAATTTATTGTAGGTAATACATGATAGGTTTTATGTTTCATTTATTCTACAATAGAGATAGCACGTTGGAGATTTTATCATGTAATATCTTATTTTTTTTTGTATATAAGAATTACCAAAATCTCAAAATCGGAAAATTGGCACATATGAGGTTTTTTAGCGGCAACAATGGTATAAACATAATTGACAACTGTTAACATAATTGTTTTTGTTATAGGTTAAAAGGCGTTTAGATTACCAACTGGAACTGGCCAACCTAAAGCGTACTGTTCAGCAAAGACACATGGTTAATTGGATTTTAGAAAATGTATTACAATCATTGACTACTGAACAAGAAAAGCAGAGTTTCAAGAAATGTATGGTGGATTTGAAAGCATTAGCTTCAAATGTTTAAGTTAAATATCAGTCAGTTCTGTTTTAGGAACAGGTAATTGTGAAAAATGTAAAAGAATATAAACAATGTTTCATAAATATTTGCATTGGTCTTAAAATGTGAAATTAAAAGTAGATCCCATTTGTATGTAATAAAATAATACGGTCCAATATGCATAGTTTATTTTGTATCAACATTATACCACAACCTATTGTTATATGTTCAAGTAATAAAAATTACAATTAAAAATATAGTTGTTTTACTGCTACAAAAATGTATCCGACCTAAATTACTTTTACATTTAGTTTTGTTGATAATTATTTATCTCTTTCTCATATTAGCTTAACTGAATACAAAACTAATAATGATTTTTTATATTTACAAATGTGTTATTCTTTTATGAAAGTTTCTTAGTTGTAACAGCCTGTAAATCTGTCAGCGTAGAAGGGAGAAGTGACTTCTTTTCATTATTATAAAATAACAAGTAAAATATTTTATGTTAAAAAAAAACATTTTATTTTTGGTACCTACAGTAATTATTATAGTAACTGTGTGTTAGCAGTTGGGCAAATTTTGAATACAATAATAATAAGTAATAGACCACTCCACAAATAATTTGAAATATGTTGTATAAAAGATAATGTTTTCTTTATTTCTATCTTTAATTTATTTCATAAATAAAAAATTAATAAACCCAATAAATGACTGATATTTAAATAAGTATAATGATTTGTAAAGATAAACAAAAAAAAATTATTTTAAACAGTTGTATTGTTTAAGAGGACGCTACCCACCTGTTATTTATCTGCAAAAAATTGTTTTGCAGGAGACAATAATGTGAGGGCAGTATTTAGTAAACAATTTTTACATTGGATAGAGATGAACATTATCTATGGGGTAACGTTTTTAGTTTTTTGATAACTTAAGCACAATCAAAATTATTCATTTGTGAAAATTCATTTTTTTTTTAAATATTTATTATAAATATTGACAAGATAAAAACGCTTCCCATGTATAAAGTTCTTTTCTATACATTGTGAAAATTTAGTAAATCTACTGTTAGTACTGGCTTAACTACTTGTCCCGCGCAAAGCAGTTTTATTTGTTAGGTAAAAACTGTTAATTTAACCTATAGAAACTACTGTAATAGTTTGACAAAAAAATATGGCAATCAAAAAAGTATCCTAATTACTGTATACACTATACTCTATAGTTTAAACTTGAGTGACCAGACTTGCTGAACGCGTGACCAGAACAGTAGCACCGCCATTTAAATTTATATTGTTATAATGTAAAAACGCGCATTCTTTTCACTCGACCTACTGCCAGTGGCACGTGTTGAAGTTATTTTTGGCCTCGTTGTCAATATTTTTAATATGTATAGCCACTTTGATTTAGAAAAGTTTATTCCAAAAATTAAAAATAGGTCGGTAACATGTAACTCTGCATCAAATGAGTTAGTAGACATCCTTAAATAATTAAAAAAATTGTCTTTAAACTTTCCTGAATCATAATACAATAAATGTTATAAACCTTTAGTAGCATAGTCAGGCAGTAGTGGATATACCCAAAACTTCCTACATTTTTTCGTCGCTAGCTCTATTAGAATTCCATTTTGGAACTGAACCGAAACATAGAAGCACTTCTGGAAGCATGAAACAAAACCAATGCATATAAAACATTCAATTAAAAGAAGTAATATTATTTTGTCGAGTTTTTCAATCTACATAGTAAGGAAAATTGCATGAAAATATTTGTTTTAATATGCATCTGAGTTGGCATATTGGTCTAAACATATTATTAAACCAAATAATTAAAAAAATATTTTGATAATATTGTTGAAATAATTATATATTCATTTTCTTGTAGTATCTATAATAAAAAAAATACATAAACGAATAACCTATGTTTGTCTAATGTTTTAACTCCTTTCGCATCAATTTGCAACAGTAAATTAAAAAAAAAATTATTTTACATCAGGCTAAAATTACAACAATATTATTTTTTGTTAAACTTGAAAAAAAATAACAATGTTTGAAGAATAAAAAAAACAAATCAATTACAAAAATAAACAAATCAAAATCGTTTGTTTTTTTTCCTAAATAAGTTTTAAAATAATATTTTGTTGACACATTATTTCGTTAAACTTCACTAATATTAAACTATTTAACAAAATATAATGTGAGAAATCAGACACACATTTATCTTATTTACATTACAAAATACAATGTTAAAAAAAACTCAGAATTTATTAGTACTGTAGCATTTCCATCTGACTATTGATTTTATCATTAACACAGCACATCAGGCTCCCGCCAATGGAGACCTAAATCTCATCTCATCCATTCCTAAAAATTATTCAGTATCAAAAATTCTTGATACTGAAGTATATTTAAATATTATTAATACAATTATTAATTAATTATAAGCTTTAATCTTTTTCTTTCTTCTCTTCTCTTCTAAATGATTTTGTTTTTAAAGTATAATATGTATTTATTTTATTTGAAAACCAGCGATTCAAAAAGTTCATATATTTAGTTTGTAAATCAATAGGGTTAGCTACGATGGTTAAAACCTTAGGTGTTGTCAGGCCCACGCGGTTGCCAATTCACAATGTCTTCGACTAGCGTGCGGACTAATGGTTGACGAAGTACTTCAAACTTTGTTTGTGCTACCAGAAGAACTAGCCCTGAAATAATAAAAGGTAAATCGATAGGTTGATTCTGTGTCCACAGTGTAACGGACCCACCCTTATCAGGGCTAATAGATACATATATATATATTTATTACATTGTACAACTTATCAGGACTAACATATACATATATCTATATATTATATTATATAACTTCTCATTGTTAAATATTGCTAAATATGAATGTACCACACGTGCCGATTTCACATCAGACCCAAAAGGTCATTACAACAGTTATATTGTTATAAAATACTCAGTAGCGAGGTGTTTTCATAAAATAGAGGACAGTTCAAAAAAAAAAAATAAATAATAATAATAGTGTACACCAAATTTGTACAATATGTATTTATCTAAATTAAAAAAAAAAAATTAAGTAGACATTGTCTCATTATCTTCTATTAAAAATTTTACCACTGAAAATGTGCATTGTTAAAATTAAATTAATACATGCAATATAAATGTTATGTTATAATTTTAATTAGCATAACATTTTATCTATCAAATTGATGAATAGATGAAAGTAGACTTGTAATAAAAAATGTAATAATGAATGATAAGATTACCATTTTGATAAATACATATTAGTAATTATTGTTAAAGTTTTTAAGTATAAGATTAGGTGTTTATACTTGTTGTTATTACTATTTACTGTATAAAATAAGTTTACTTTTGACATGTAACGGAGTTTTTTTATTTAAAAAAAAATGTATTATTAAATATGGATTTTATACATTTTGTTGTATAAAATGTATTTAGTATACAATGAAAATTACTCATTAAAAATTAGTCGTAATCAACAACAAAAGTTAGTCCCGTCGAGCGACTTTGTAACAAAACAAAATAACTTCTAATAAAACATTGCTTACAACAAATTTTTTATAACCTATTTTCACTGTATTAGCTCGTTTTCGTGTAGTTATTTTTTACCAAAGCAATGTCTTGTTTTGTTGTTACTTATTTTTATTGAACAACTACTTTTCTACAGCCTATTTAACTAATATTCTACCTTTTTAGGAAAGATGAGTCTATAATTTTAATTTACCAATTTATATTGTAATATTAAAACTCTGTGTTCTTAAAAACTTTAGTTGTAAATCATGTTAATCATGTGTTATGTTTTTGTGTTGTAATACAATATAATTTACCCTTTATTACATTGACAAAAGTGTCAGCGAAAATTGTATCATTTTACAATTGTAAATCGTGCATTTTATGGAGTTTTGAATTTTTAATAACTTAAAATGAGACTTTTACATAGCCAGAAAAATGTTTTTGATAGAAATTCGAATTTTTGTTGTTTCTACTTTTAATAGGTAATAAGTGTAAATGTAAACATATATAATATATTAAATAACTGTGAAACAACAGATTTCAGTCTATTCTGTGGTGAAATTATGGCAAGTTCGGCATTTTGGTCGATAGTTACAAGTGATTAGCAATACTGTTCAGTATATTCTGCTATTTTTTATTTATTTATAAAACGAATCACTACTCGCTGAATATCTGTCATTTAGTCGAGATGATAAATTCAAAGTAAAAAGTAAAAACAGTAACCTTTAAGCCAAGGGCATTGGGGATCTTATTGGCTTTAGTATACTATAATTCATAATATATTTTGTCACGGCTATTTTTGTATACCTATTACAAATTGTTGTTTACCTATTGTTGTCATTGCCAAATGGCAAATAGTATGATAACGGAAAATTTCCCTTGCGGCGAATAGATAACATAAATAGTAACGATAATATTGGACATTTGGACATCGGATTTTTTCACTTAGTCTTAAATTACATCTTAATAAAAAAAACCGTGTTCCGGCGTGTTATTTAGTACACATTTGACGTTGTTAGTTAGAACGTTTCGTTGAGCGAATGTGAACTTACGATTTGTCAACTACCTATTTCTATTGTGTCACCTAAATTATGTCTGCAAAATTGTTATCTGTGGATACTCAAGAGGTAATCTAGTTTATTTAATTGTATTGTAAACTCACAAAAAATAGACGTTTGCTAACATATTATAATACTATGTACAAGTGTGGTACACATTTTTTGATTTAGAGTATATTAGAGTATATATTATAATTGTTCTACAAAATTTGATACAATTACAAGCTTGGGTTGTTAGCAAACACTAATTGTAGTATATTTTACATCTGAGAAACTTAATGATTTCATAAAAATCAATACACAAATGGTTTACAAAGAAATTCATGTATGACTGAGCTTTTATTAATTTCTTATGAAAGTATTTAATTACTCTTTACCTAGTCACGAAACAGTTAAAAAGAACAGTTAATGAAAGAGAAATTGAATTGCTATTTAAATTATTTGTATTATCATTAGTCCTGAGCTAATTGTTATAAGTAGTCCATCTTTTCTAACTTTTAAGTAATTGATTTTTATTTTCCCCTTTTCTGTAGTATATAATATTGGCGTTGCTTAGTAAAATGTGCCCTGATTTTGAATGAAACAAAC